AGAAACACTATGAAAATGAATGTGTCAGCATGCTCAGAATGCATAAATTCATTCGTAGGCTTTTCTGTATGTCTTTATGCATAATTTCACAGGGGTTCTGGGGCTCCTTACACTTGATTCTTTGGAGAAGAAAAGAAAAAAAAGATAATGCCATCATTTTGACCTGTGCAGATTGTGTGTGGAACAACTGATATTTGCAGGGTCCTGGCTAACAGGAATCTCATAATCCATTCTTATCTCATTAATGTCTAATAGTCTGCCTTCAGAGGTAGAAAAGGGAAATAGAAACAGTTGGTGGAAAGAGACAACAAAATATACAGTGAAAATAAATTTAAACCTATGGTCACATGATCAAAAGCAAGCTAGCACAGCCTTTTAGTTATGGGAAAACTTAATTTCCTGTGGGAAGGGAGAAAACAATTTTGTTCATGGTAGCACTTTTTGTTTTCAGCTAGAAATGTTGAGGTTTTTTTAGAAAATTCTTTACCAGTTGCAGTGACAGGGCGAATTCAGGAATCTTTTTGTTTCCTGAAACAAAGTGGACTTGTTCGGAGTCTTGGGAACCTGAGAGTAAATTGAGTGGATCATATGCTACAGTTCTTGTTTTATTTGTTTGTTTTGACTTTGAATTTGCTTTAACTTTAAATATGCTTTTAAGACAGGAGGGCCAGTGACTTACAGGACAGACAGTTTTTATCTGTGAGTACAGGAAGAAGTAGGATGTAAATAAACATTAGTGACATACCAGTCCGCTGCTTCCTTTTCCGCTAACTTCTGTATTTAAGCTAGAACAGTTTCTTAGGAAATATCCCCAATATGTCCATTTTGTATTTCAGCATTTATAGCCTGAAATATGTCAGAAATTCACCAAGCTAATCACATTCCGAGCTCTTTCTATTGTAATTTTCCTTTCAAACTAATGAAATTATTACAATTTTTAGGAATGATTTATGAAATTAGTTGCTACCCTTGCTGATTTAACATGAGCATGTAACAATTTTATTGTCATTGTAATTTTTTCCTCTTGACATTCCATTCGCACTGTAACTTGTATAACTGCAAAATGAACAAAGTGGGTTTAATTCTACAAGTCCAGGTCAAACTACCACACTGCTTTTAGAATTTCAAGTCTTTCCACCTGAAATCTTAGAAGGTAGCAAGAAACAGCTGTGCTTAGAACAGTTGCATTTATTTAGGCTAGAGATTTTTTTTTTGTTGCTTTTTGTTCAGGAGAGAGCATACACCCAGTAGATAGAAAGTTAATGGATGGAGCTTGGAGAAGTTAATGTTATGCTAGAACATCATCCAAGTTACAGAACTGGAGACAAAGGGGTTGGGAGGAAAAGATTATTTGTTAAAATTAAAAGTCCTTGTGTAGCTGTGCAGCCCTAAGGATCATAGGCTGCAATAGGCTTGAATTAAAATCTGTGCTTATTAAAACTAAACTAAATATAGTATTTTAAAAAGGAGGCTATCCTTAAAGTCCATGTTGGGAATTAAAAAATATTTCTCTTCAAGAACCACAGTTTTCTAGTTTGAGTCTCTTGGGATTTTGGTTTGTCAAGACCCCATGTTCTGCTGAGCCTCAGGGTCCATTTGGTGCCTTGCAAGCCCTGAAAAGGGCTGAAATAAATGCATGTTTTCACCATGAGACATCAGAAATTTTAACATTTCAGTTTGAGCTACCTGCTTACAGAGTTCTTCTGTATCAGGGTTGGGAGTAGACCACGCACTAGTCTTGGAGGGGCCACCTGTGGCAGGGTGTTGCAGGCTCTGCCTGCCAGACACAGACTGGCATTTGCATCCTTTTTTTCTTTCTTTTTTCCTTACTTCTGTGTTATCATTGCAGCTCATAATGAAACCCAAACCCCAGTCTGGCACTTCTAAAATAAGAGTTGAGAATTTGTGATGAAAATACGATCTACCTACTCCAAGGAATATTCCGGACATCAGGGTTTAAAAGCAGGTTTAAAAAGCTTTGAATAGTTTAAATTCAGCTGTGGAATAAAGAAAACCCAAACCCATTATGATACAGTACAGACCCATTGCTCTGAGTACCTCTTAATAGTTTGATTTTTAAGCATGTGCAGAAATATAATAAAAGTTAACTTATATGGTTATTAGTTTAATAAAATCAAACACCACTACATGTAATGATGGATTTAAGAGAGAAGATATCAGATTTATTTGCAGCCTGTCAGAATGTGTCTTATACTGTGTGTAGGTTTATAGTTTTTCATTTTGGTTTTAAAGACTCAGAGCATTTAAACATTTTAGACATGTGAAGACAGAAACCTGTTTTCAGCTCCTGGAATTGATTTTTGCCAGCTAGAGAAAGGTCTGCCTGTCTTTTATGAAACACAGTGTTAGTAATGCCACAGAGGAGGTTTTTGTGTTTTATAATTGCTAATCTCTGCCAAAACAGCAGCTCTTCTGTGAGTATCAGTAACTTGAAAGAAAAGACATGTTGAGAACATTGAATGTGGTACTTCTTGGTGTAAAGCTCCTGTTACACCATGCTGCCTACTGCCTTACAAAGAGGATCACACAGGCTCTGTTGTGTCTCCTAACCTTTTTGGAAATCATTTTGTTTGTGAAAGACAGAGGTCTGGTAGAGGCGATTTTAAGCTTTAGATTTTTTTTTTTTATTGTTCTTTCTAAGTCTTTAGCTGGAACCACTTTGTGCTTTGTTATTTCTGTCCATTATTTCACTTGTTTAGAGCGGCTGTGTCTGCACTGCTTGGGTTTCAGTGCTTTATCCATGTGTTCTCATGGCAGAAGCAAAAAAATCACCTTTATTCTGTGAAAGGAATTCTGCAGGCTGTGCCCCAAACCGCAAAGTAACTTCCCACATAATTAGCTAGTGCAAAGTTGAGGGAAAGGCTAGCCCCAGAGGAACATGCAGTAGCAGCTACCTATTTTGTTAGAGCAGTCAACTCATTCCTCCTTCCCATCCTGCTTGTCCTCTCCCTGGACATGGCATAGCTGTGTGAGCAGCTGGGTGTGTGCAGGACTTGCCCTTGTTATGCATTTGGCTTTTTGCTCTCCTGCTGAACTACTGCACTAGTAACCAGTGGGTGAGAAGTTCTTGTGGCAGCCAGTGTAGGTGAGACCACAGCGAAAACAGTCTGGAGACTGAGACTATCCCTTCCAAAGAGCTTCCTAGGAAAAAAAATCCATGCAGGGAAAAAAGTCACCTCTGCTGCTGTTTTGTGGTTCTCCTGTCCTGAGCAGGTGACAACTGGGCCTTAGGAGTTTGGAGGATCCTTTATATCTATCTGTTCACACTAGCACAAATGACTAATGCTGTTCATTTGCACACTGTTATTTAAATGTTGAAGATAACAATTCTAGGGCAAGCAGTCATGCTGTGACTCAGTGTAGGTAAGCACTGGGAGACATTAAAGGAGTTGGGAGTTTGTAGCTAACTCCCAAGTAAGGCACTGCAAGGCTTTGATAGCTGTAGGGTGTGTTACTGGTCTGTGCTTCAGCACTTTCTACAGCAACTACAGCCCTGGGGAGGTGTGTGGGAAAAGGCTCAGGAACCATGCTGCTGGGAGGAGGCTCTTGTGGAGCTGGGAGAACTGTAAGACCTCGACAGCTTGTATTACTGATGAGGGAGGAGTATTTGCCATTCATTTCCCCACTGGAAAGTAAAGTGAGAGCTGGAAGCTCCTTCTGCTGGTTCCCTGAGAAACTGAGCCCTAACTTCTAAGTTTTGGCAACTGCGCCAAGAGCACCAACGGAGATGAGTGCTGCAGTGAGATAAAGCCCTCTCCTATCTGGCTGCTTTCACCAGATCCCAGGCTTGGTATGCAAAAGTGGTAAAAGCTTCTGGGAGCAGAGTGTGGGTGGCTGGGGCCAGGATCCTTCTCTGTGTTGGAGGAGATGCTTTCATCGTGAGCTCCATGCCAGTAAGGAGGACCGCTGGCCTTTCCCACAGACGAGGAGCTGCTTGCACTGGTGTGGGAAGGAGGGGTGTTCATGCATGCCTTTGGCCATATAGGTGGAGGCTGATATTTGGGTTCTGCATATAGAAATGTCTGGTTTCTAGAAATAATTATCATGTTGTATGTACATTGCCTGTGACACTGTCTTTTAGGGTGTGTAAGGTGCAGCTCTGTATGAACTGGTATGCTACAAGTTAAAAATAATAAATCTAATACATCTTAGTACTGCCTGCTTTGATCTCCTTGTGCTCTGCTAAGCCCTTCTTCTCCCAAGCAAAGGGGGCTGGACTCTTTGATAATGTACATCCTGTCTTCTTCCCTGTTGCATGTGTGTACATAAGCTAGATATTTTTCTTTAGAAGTGACAAATTTGGGTCATAAGTTCAGCAGTTAAAATGATGATTTTACCACATCCTGCTTGCACAGGAAGCTTATTTTTTAAAAAAGCTGATTAGTTAAGTTCTCTTATATTTTGTCAAAACAAAAAGCAAAGCAATCAATTTAAAGCTGCAAAGATGTTTGGATTCTCACATGATCAGTTTGCTGCTTTGACTCACAGTGCATATGTTTAACATAAAGTGAAAGCCTTGCAGTCTGCTCCTGTGCTACCTGCACTAACCAGCTTCCTATGATCACTGGGCTGTGATGATAATCTGAAAAAATGTTTTCCCCATTATGTTAAGAGAAAGTTGTGGGTTTTTTTTTCCTGGTTAGCTGGGTTGAATTTAATTGGAGGAGAAAAATGCATACAGTACCATTTGATGCAATCATAGAATCATAGAATGGTTTGGATTGGAAGGGACCTTAAGATGATCTAGTTCCAACGCTCCAGGCATGGGCAGGGATGTCACTCACTAGATCAGGTTGTTCAGGGCTCCATCCAACTCAAGTATGCTACTCAAGTAGCCATTTTTACAGAACTGAATTTTGTGCAGCATAGTCTGTCATTGCATTTCTTGTTATTAATACATATCAGCTACAGCATTTTACTTTTCACATACTATAATCTCACCAGTCGACAATGCTGATTTTGTCTTTGTTCTCTTGTAGGAATGTTTACCCTTGCAGAAGTTGCATCGCTCAATGACATCCAGCCAACTTACCGTATCTTGAAACCATGGTGGGATGTATTTATGGATTATCTTGCTGTTGTTATGTTAATGGTTGCCATTTTTGCTGGAACCATGCAGCTGACAAAAGACCAGGTGGTCTGCTTGCCAGTTTTGCAGTCTACTGTAAATTCAAAAGTGCAGCCTGATACATCAGGAAAGGCTGACTTTACCACTGTTGAAACAACCACTGGTCAAGGAGAAGAAGCATCAATGAGAACTGTTTCCTTTGAAAGTACTACTGTAAGACCTGACATTTTTCTGAGCGGAGCTACCTCTTCTCAGTATCAATCCACTGAATCAGGTCAGGAGCTGAAGAAGGAGCAGAAAGATTCCTCAGGCCGTAAAACAAATTTGGATTTTCAGCAGTACATATTTATTAACCAGATGTGCTATCATTTGGCTCTTCCGTGGTACTCAAAGTATTTTCCCTATCTTGTTCTCATCCATACTATCATTTTGATAGTCAGTAGCAATTTTTGGTTCAAGTATCCCAAGACTTGCTCAAAAATTGAGCATTTTGTGTCTATATTGGGGAAGTGTTTTGAGTCCCCTTGGACTACAAAAGCATTGTCCGAAACGGCATGTGAGGACTCCGAGGAGAACAAACAGAGGTTAACTGGTGCCCAGTCCCTGCCCAAGTATGTTTCCACTAGCAGTGATGAAGGAAGCCCAAGTGCTAGCACTCCCATGATAACCAAATCTGGCTTCAAATTTTCAGCTGACAAGCCGATGATTGAGATTCCCAGCGTCACGATTTTAGATAAGAAAGATGGAGAACAAGCCAAAGCACTGTTTGAGAAAGTCCGTAAGTTCCGGGCTCACGTGGAAGACAGTGATCTGATTTATAAGCTCTATGTTGGCCAGACTGTCATCAAGACTGTCAAGTTCATATTTATACTCTGCTATACTGCGAACTTTGTCAACACCATTAGTTTTGAACACATTTGCAACCCGAAAGTGGAACATCTGATTGGCTACACACAGTTTGAATGTACACACAATATGGCTTATATGTTGAAGAAGCTGCTTATCAGCTATATTTCCCTCATTTGTGTGTATGGTTTTATCTGCCTCTACACGCTTTTCTGGCTGGTCCGAATACCTTTAAAAGAATATTCTTTTGAAAAGGTCAGAGAAGAGAGTAGCTTCAGTGATATCCCTGATGTCAAAAATGATTTTGCATTTCTCTTGCATATGGTAGATCAGTATGACCAGCTGTATTCTAAGCGATTTGGTGTCTTTTTGTCAGAGGTGAGCGAGAACAAACTACGCGGCATTAGTTTAAACCATGAATGGACTTACGAAAAGCTTCGGCAACATGTTTCCCGCAATGCCCAGGACAAGCAGGAGCTGCACCTCTTCATGCTGTCGGGGGTCCCGGATGCAGTGTTTGATCTGACGGATCTGGATGTGTTGAAACTGGAGCTGATTCCTGAAGCAAAAATTACAGCCAAAATTTCCCAGATGACAAATCTTCAGGAGCTTCATCTGTACCACTGCCCTGCAAAGGTCGAGCAGACGGCCTTCAGCTTCCTCCGGGACCACTTGAGATGCCTTCATGTGAAGTTCACAGATGTTGCAGAAATTCCTGCGTGGGTGTATTTGCTCAAAACCCTCCGTGAATTGTACTTGATAGGCAACTTGAACTCTGAAAACAATAAAATGATAGGGCTTGAATCTCTTAGAGAGTTGAGACACCTTAAAATTCTCCATGTGAAGAGCAATTTGACCAAAATTCCCCCCAATATCACAGATGTAGCACCACATCTGACAAAACTAGTCATTCATAATGATGGCACTAAGCTTGTGGTACTCAATAGCCTTAAGAAAATGACTAATGTTGCGGAGTTGGAACTGCAGAACTGTGAACTGGAGAGAATTCCCCATGCCATCTTCAGTCTTTCTAACTTACAGGAGCTGGATTTAAAGTCAAATAGCATACGCACAATTGAAGAAATCATCAGTTTCCAGCATTTAAAAAGACTGACTTGTTTAAAGCTGTGGCACAATAAAATAGTTAGCATTCCTTCCTCCATTACCCACATAAAGAATTTGGAGTCTCTTTATCTCTCAAATAACAAACTCGAAACCTTACCTGCCGCAGTGTTCAGTTTACAGAAACTTAGGTGTTTAGATGTAAGCTTCAACTCAATTGCGGTGATTCCAGTGGAAATAGGTTTGCTTCAAAATCTTCAGCATTTTCACATCACAGGAAACAAAGTCGACGTTTTGCCAAAACAGTTGTTTAAATGTGTTAAATTGAGGACTTTGAGTCTGGGACAAAACTGTATTACCTCAATCCCAGATAAAGTAAGTCAGCTGTTGCAGCTGACTTACCTGGAACTGAAGGGAAACTGCTTGGACCGTCTGCCAGTTACGCTGGGGCAGTGTCAGCTTCTCAGGAAAAGTGGGCTCGTAGTGGAAGATCACCTCTTTGATGCTTTGCCCTCAGAAGTTAAGGAGGTGTTGAATCAAGACACAAGCATTCCCTTTGCTAATGGGATTTAGACGGAGGTGAAGTGCTCTGATAGCTGACTTCCAAATGGCAGATGCTAAAAAGTACAGCAGTTGTGAGACATGTGTTTTAGAAAGCAGAATTTGTTGGAAGGCAGGACTGCTAGCAGGATTAGAAGAGGTATAACTGAGTGTTCAATGTTTGCAGTGTTTCAAAAGATCATTTCCAAAATTTTTGAGAGGATAAAGAACCTTAATAATCTCAATTCTTTTTTCCTTAAATTGTTTGTAACTTGGATGCTGCCGCTTTTGAATGTTTACAAATTTGCTTGCCTGCTTAAAGTTAATGATTAAATTGATGACCTTTTCTTACTATGCAAGTTATTCCTTAAGGTCTGGTTTTATTTTAGTGCATTATGGGGAGGAAAACCAAGGCTAAATGTTGTATATGGTATGTGTCTAACAGCACTTGAAGCACACACTGAATTGTGTTGTTAGTGTTTAGCCATCCTTGGCAAATAAAAACAGTTTGGCTGTGATTTGAACTGCACCGGAACCACCATTTCCCTCCATTAAGGTATGTGGTTTCATAGAATTATAGAATTGTTTAGGTTGGCGAAGACTTTTAAGTTCATCAGGTTCAACCATTAACCTAACACTGCCAAATCCACCACTAAACCATGTCCCTAAAACCCACGTCTGTGCTTTTTTTGAATGCTTCTGGGGCTGGTGATTCCACCTCTTCTCTGGGCAACCTGTTCCAATGCTTGACCACTCTTTCAGTGGAGAAATTTTTCCTAATAATCTAAACCTTCCCTGGCACAACTTGAGCCTGTGTCCTCCTGGCCTGTTGCTTCTGGGAGAAAAGACTGACCCCCACCTCACTCCAACCTCCTTTCAGGTAGTTGTAGGGAGCAATAAAATCCCTTCCAAGCCTCATTTTCTCCAGACTAAATACCCCAGCTCCCTCGGCTGCTCCTCATAAGACCTGTGCTCCAGACCCTTCAGCAGCTCCATGGCCCTTCTCTGGACATGCTCCAGTACCTCAATGGTTTGTGTCATTCTTCATCCTCAAGGCCTCATGTTGTTGGGTGAGATTCCTTCTGTGGTCTGGTGTGTTGCTCCTTTACTCAAACAAAGACTGGTCACCTTCCTGCAACTGATCTCCCCCTCAGATTCCATAACTCCTCTGTCCTATGCAGCAGTGGGTGGTAAAAGGGAGAATACAGCCACTTGGCATTCAAGTTGTGGATAGTTTTGAGAGTTGAACTGTTTATTGCAAGGTGACTTGGAAAGTCATTAAACACCAAGTGACTTTGGTGCTCATATTTTGCTCCTCTGAGTTTTCATCTGGGAAACTCGAGGTGTTTTATGAGTTGATTGGTTTTTTTTCATAGCCCTTGATTAGGACCTGGGGTGTCTGTTTCATTTACTGGACTAATGACAGACATAAGATTTTTGATTTACTCAAACATGATTAAGTTTTATCACCTGTTGTGGTGTCTTCCACACCTGGACTTTACCATAAGAGCACCCTTCTCCCCACCCCAGCCCAAGTAATTCGATGTCTTTGAACACTTACACACTGTTAGCAAACCCTAACTGTGTGCCAGATCAGTCATCAAATAAAGAAAAAAACAGCAGTGAGTGTGGGATTTTTGTTGTTGGGTTTTTTTTTGTTTTGTTTTTTTTTTTAAATGTTGTTTTTTTAACTTGAGTTTGCATTGCCAGAACCATTAGAGAAATATAATCCATTAAATCTGCAAAATCATCAGTTGTAAATCTCGGTCATTTACATTCCATGTGTGCAGAAAAGAAGTACTATGCTGGGAGATGATTGCATGATTACTCATGGTTTAAACACAATTCCCTATTGTAGTGTGGTCAGGACTGAACTAGTCTGTAGTTTAAGGGACTGTTCTTCTCACAGAAATCCTCATGCACAGTGATTTCTACTGTAACTTCACCAGAGCTGCCCTGACTCACACCACTATTAATGAGGGGATAGTTTAGGCCTAGAGGCATTGAGCAGGCAGGAACATTTCAAATACTGCTCTTAGGAGTCTTGCACATTTTATTGTTAATAATTTACTGTTAGTCATGCTGGGAGGACTGTTCTCAGCTGTAGGTAGCAGTCTCTGAATACATACCTGCACCGTATGTTTATGTATATCAGAAGACCAGTTTATGAATAGTGGTTTTCCTACTTCTCATGGGGATATGGTCTGTTTTCCACTTGCCAGCAGGTAGTAAACTTGGGATGTTGACAGTTTTACAACACCAAGTCACAGGTTAGGCAGAATACTTGCAGTTACTGATCTGTCCTCCCCTGAGAAACTTAGTGCTAATCCTCATATATTTTTTTTTTAAGTAGAAGTTAAGGCTGCAATGGGTTATTTTTTTTTAAGAAACTCTTTAATTTGTTTATTTTTTGCACATAGATCACTTTAAAATTGCTGGACTATTGACTCTTTAGAAAAACTGTGGAATATACTATTGGTGTATGCTTTGTATTTGTTGTTGAGTGTAATTTCAGCTTCCAAGAAATTGTGTGTAGGAGGGAGGAGGAGTTGGAGGATGGCAAAATAATTAAAATATTTAGAAAAATAGTTCTATTTATCATCCGTTTTTCCTTTTCTGAAATAGAAGAGTCACGCAGAATGTGGCTGTGTATCGATCTAGCTTTTAAAAGCTTTTTTTGGTGTTTCTGATTCTCCTGCTGACCCTGTTGATGTTCAGAAAATAAACCTGTGTCTTTCATATGAGTATGGTATACTCAAAAAATAAACCTGTGTCCACTTAATGAATATGTTATACATAATTTAGACCATTGTTTTGACTAGTTATTAGCCAACTGTACTTCTTTAGACAAGTTCCTCCAAAATAAGTGTATGTTAAAGTTAATTTCAGGCTTCTAATGCTTGCTCAGCATAAACTCCATTATTGTTTTTAGGGAATCTTTCTCAGAGGGGGGAGGAACTGCCCATAATCCCCATGTTACCTCCCCCCAGTCCTTCCTCCTCTCTGTGACTGTTTATAATGTTCCTATTTCCTGCGTGTCAACTGACACAGTCTTGCTTTTACAGTCTTGGAAGTTCATCTCTTTTCCATGTAAGGCATGTAAAATATATTTTGCATTTCTATTTGATTTAATAAATAAGATGTTTATATCTTCCTCTAATCTATTTTTTTAATGGGTGAGAAGTGTGTTTGCATAGTAAAAGCTCTGTACCTTATGCTGAATTCGTTCTGTGGTGCCTGTAATCTAAGAAGGAAAAGGTATGAGTTACTGCTCCTAGTAAATCCTGCAGGTATGGTTTCTAACTAAGATACAGTACTTCAGCATAATTTTTCTCTTTTTTTTCCATATGTTCAATCTACATGATCTACCACTGTTTTAATTTGGCTAATGGAGTTTTCAGAACGTATGTATGGCCCCGGAAGAAAGACTTCCGTGTTTGTTCAAACAAGAGGAAGTAAGAAATTGCCCATTTTGTTTGCTCCTGCCACTGTAACTCCTTTCTCTGAAGATCCTTTAGTTTTCCAATAAATTGACCTTTTGGAAGCTGCTTCCAGTGATGCAACAGAGCTGTGGCTGTCCTGAGCAGGTATCAGGCCTCTTGGTATAAGGCAGGATGCTGACACTTGTGAAAGGCTTTCTGCTGCTAAATAAATGGCTTTGCAGTCCTGAGCTGCCCCCTCTGGTAGCAAAGCAGGATGCCCAGACACTGCCAGTCATGTCTGAGAATGGGGCATCTGCTTTGTGGACTGTATTTTTAATAAAAATCTTACAGAAATAGCTGTTCTGTATATTGTATTTCCAGGGATGTGCACAGCAATTGGTGGTGTATGGTTATGTGAAGGCAATGGGCTAGACTGTGATTCCTGCACTTGAAGTCAAGTTCAACAAACGAGGTGCTCCTACAGCTGTGATGTTGACTGTCATTCTCATTGCTTGCAGGAACAGGTTTTGGCTTTCAGACTTCTCGATTCTTAAGACTGGGAGTTGGGCAGGAAACCTCACAGTCCCAAGTATAACTCTTCTGCAGCTTGTTGTGAACATGAAAAACGAGGCTTCTGTTGGGTCTTCGGGTTGGGAACCCATGAGGGTGCTAAAGATGAGAACAAAAACCTCCGATTTGCTGAGGGATCCCAGTGTTGCTGGCAGAGCCATAGGGCACAGTGGCAGTGGGCTGAGGGTCGCTTATCTGGGCAGCTGTCTGTGATGGGATCATTGTCTGTGAAACAACTGGCCTCGAAGATATCGTGGAGTGGGGCACTGCTCTTCAGTCCAAAGCAAGGAGGGAGGCTAAGCCTGGTGACTTGAGACCTATTTTGGGGTTTGGTACAGCCTTCTCACCTGGGGTAAAGGATATTAAAAAAATTTCAATTTCCTGTCTGTAAGCTGTGGATTCTTTAATGGAGGCAAAATGCCTTCATGATTGTGAAATACACAAATCATGCAGAAATTATGTCATGTAGAAAGATTCAAGGGGCTTAGGCAGTCTTGTTATTAGCTGCATGGCAGAGCCCTATCAATGCGTTTCTAATGTGTGATCCCAAAACAGTTTGATTTAGACAGCAAACTATCAGAGGCAGGACTAGAAGATACCTCAAGATGTGTTTAAGCCTGCCACCCTGCCTCATGGAAAAGTAAGGTTCCCTAACTCATTCCTGCCAGATGTTTGGCAAGATGTAGGAATGGGTTAGACAGTGATGGAAATTCCAGCCTCTCTAGGCAAACTGTTTACTTAATGATCTTCCTGTTGAAGAAACACAGCTAGACAAAAACTGCTGATACTCTGTTTAGGCCAAACCAAATGACTGGAAATGTATTAACCCATTTGCTTGCAGAAGTACAGACTGAGATAGACTGCTATATGGATATGTTGCATTCCAAGCACCTTGGGAGGACCAAATTTTGGGATTCCTTTGAAAAAAGCCCCGAGGAACAGCTTGCATCAGTTTGGTTGCACTGTATCTGTAAACAGTTGCATTCCCCAGTGATGGCAAGGCTATCTGCAGCCACTGTGCAATGGATTTATGACTGGTCTGCCCCATCTTAGGCTGGTGGCTGACATCCTTGCCCTTGCAAAGCTTATATGGTTGGTTTGTTCACAAAGACACTTTGCAAAGGCATTTAAATAAGATGTTTCTTGAGCAAGTTTGCTGTAGGAACATGCAAGTTGATCCTTAAGATTGCCAGAACTGAAAGAATTGAGATGAATTCTGTAGTGTTTTTGACCTTGGCATTAACCTCTTGCCTCCCACTGTGAATTGATAAAATTACTGCACGAACTACTGATTAGAGTACAGGGTTATCCAAATGGTTGGCATTTTAGCACTGTAGAAGACCTCCCAGTTCAGGCTGCCTATTTGTGCTTGTACAGTGTGTTCAGCACTTAAACCAAAGGCATCAGTGAGGTTGCAAAACCCTGTGGGCTTATGCTGTGACCAATTTTCCAGGACAGCAAATCGTTCCCCATGCTTCTGAAGGACGGGTAGCCTGTGTTACCGAGTACAGTTGTTTCTGTTAGCAAAGATGAGCTTTAGAATTAAGCTCAGAAACAGATTTTCCAAGCTGATTACAAACACGCACCCATTCCATGATAAAAGTCATGAGAGATGTCATTTCTGGCAGAGATGCTGAAAATAGTTCAGCATCTGTAACTCAGCCAGGCATGGGTGCAGAAGTGGCAGCTCTTTAAGGCTGCACATCAACACAATACAACTTAAGTGAGGATCTTTAAAACCACACACTCTGGAGTTGGGCCAGGCTGCATCTCCCTCTGTTCCCTGAAGAGAACAGCCCCTAAGCCCTTTTGCAATTACTATCGCTAGGACCTTTGTTCTGTCTTGCCTCCAACAGCACATTGCCCCTTGATGCTGGAGGTAATATAGGGTTATTGGTTTAATAATGGCTGTTTGGGAAGAATGCCATCTTCTAAATTAACACCACAGTTGCTTGCAGGAAGTCTCCCAGCACAGAGCAGGTCTGTTCCCATAAAATGAACATGTTGTGCCCATAAACAATAAAATCTCAAGTTGGGACTGGGTTGTGTAGACCATTAGTAATAAATGCATGAAATGTTGCTGTTCAGCTAACCAGTTCTGGGTAGTTTTGCTGCTTTACATGGTTTGTAAAAATGGATTTTAAGACCCTTTTCCCTGACACCATCCTGCATCGTCTCTAGACCCAATGTTGCGGGCCTGGGGCAGGCTGGCTTACCCCAGAGGGTGTTGCTGGAGCTGTCCTGGCAAAGCTGGGGTGGGAGAAGGTCTGGCAGCTATGCCAGCACCTCACGGAGGCTGGAGGCTCCCCTCTTCTGAGGAAGCCAGAATTCTTTCGCTCCTCCTGAGGCATCATCTATGGGAGATACCATACAAGAGTGTGTCCTGGACCACAAAATAAAGGTAATACTGTTGAATGAAACCTATTGCCATGTCATGTGTCTGAAAGGTGGGGATCGTGATAATAGGAGGAAATGCAGAATCAGAGAAAAAAAAGGTAATAAATGGACCTGAGGGGAGGTAGAGAAAAAAAAGGTAATAAATGGACCTGAGGGGAGGTAGAAATTTCAGAAGTTTTAGGACGATAGTGTAAAATCTGGAGTGTAAGTTACGTGTGCTTCTGACTAGAGCCAAGTTCAAACCTTCAGGTTTGAACCTTGGCCTTTTGAGCTCGGCTTTTCCTTTTTTTTTTTCTTTACTTTTGTCCCCTTTGCTTCTCAGAGAGGGCCTTAGGGTGCCTGTGCAGCTGCTGCTTACATGCTCTCCTTCCCCTCTTGCTCCTGTGCAAGTATCCATGATAGCTCATCCCTGCAGAACTATTAACACTTATCCCAGCACAGCCATACCTGGAACTGCACCCCTGCTCTGGCTGCATGCCCGACAGTGCTCTGCAGAGAAAGCCTGGGCACTGTCGAGGGCTGGAGTCTAATCTTGGAACTGCAGCTTCCCCTTGTGAAGGGATTCTCCCTCCTCTGGCTGGCAGGTGATACCCAAGTGGGTATCAGCCAGCACAGGGAGGCTTGAAGTTCCCTTCCAGCTGCCTGAAAATGCTGGGGCTAGTGGGGTCCTGCCCACTTTCAGCTCTCGCACATCCTGATGAAACCATATTTTTCCTGCAGCCCTCCAGGGAAAGGGTTTCCATAACGTCCTTAAGTTGTAATTTCCATAGGCATCCTCATGGCTCCTGTAGTTCTGTGTCCTAAGAGCCTTCCCTATCTTTGTTGTAAATTGGGTTGTGTGTTTTTTACCCTGTTCACAGAGGATGCAGAGAACACCTGATGATTGTCACAGCTGCCTTCTGCAGTGGGTGCTGCTTCTCCACCCCTTTCATTTTTTTCTCTGCCTTGGGTTAAACCCCTTCCTTCAGCCTTTCACCACGTGTTGTTTGGGTGTGTTTATTATCCCCGTAACTCTTGTTACTCTCTTCTCAATCCTTTCAGTTTACCAAGTTTGGTGATTGGTCTCCAAGCCCTCCAGTCTCTTAGCTATCCTGAGAGTTTTATTCTGGACTTCTGCACTGCTGCAAGGATGTCTTGTGGATGTAAAATGCCAGGCAAGTGGAGACTCTGAGTATGTACCCAGGTCTGTAGGGCTGTAATGCACGACAGAGCTGGAAACCGAATGCCCTTCAGGGCCTCGGGTTTTAACCTATTGAAATTGTGAAATGTGTTTAACAAAAGGGAAAGACCAGCTGGATTGTAAATTGATCACTGTCAATACTGGTTTGTGTATTTGAGACCTAAGAAAATGCCAGCATGATCTGACCCAGGAGAATGAAATAGGTTTCTAGCTGTCTTTGTATTAAAATCTTGTTAAGTAAATTGGCTTTAAAATTGTGTGTGGAAGCGCTGTCCCTGCAAGTCAGTACTAGTGTGGTTGAATAATTCACTGGGTACTTGGGAATATTCCTCAGACCTGCAGAGGTGTTTATGGCTGAGGACATGTCCCTCTCACCACAAATTTCAGCCTTCACCCAGAGCATGGGTGTTTACCCCAGGTGCTGGTGATCTGAAATCCCAGTGATCTAGTGCCATCTCTGCCAGACAGAGGTCAGCTCCAGGAGTCCACACAGGCACTGCACAAAGGAGCCTTAGCATGTCCTCTCATGGGGACCTTCTCTTCTTTCAGTTTAGGACCAGTAAAGCTGACAGGCTGCAATTTTGAACTAGAACTCTACAGAAGAGGCCTTAATTAAGTAATTTTTCTGAAGTAATTAAATGACTGTAAAATCATCATATAGATAGCAGTGCTGCACCATAGTTTGAAACCTGACTTTCTCCTCCCCATCAGGAAATCAAGAGAATCTTGGCCACCCCTATCCCGGCACAGCAGTTATGTTCCTAGCCAGGGGGTCTCTGTAGGAGTTGCCCCACAGAAGAATTACACCCGCTGCGCAAGGTAAGCATATCTTCAGAGGAAGGCAGTCAGGGTTACTGTCCCAGGTAAAGGTCCTTGTGCCTCTGGAGCTTTGTTTATGTTTGTTCTTGCACTGATCATCCCTAGCAACATGTTTAACTCTGAATATATTTGTTTAATTAAATGCTTTTAACATTTTTTATGGGGCCTCTAGTTGTTGAGTCCCCCAGAGGAGCTCGGCAGCAGACAGCATGGGTTGTGAAACACTGGTGAACAGCCTGGATGGGACACAGGGTCTGAAAATGAGCATTTTAGCTTTACGTTCTGCTGCTCTCTCCTCACCAGACTGAGAAAGGGCTGGCATGGAGGAGACCTTAGAGATCTAGTATCACTGTGGTTTTGTTATGTGGCAATCAATGCTCCTGACAGACTGAACGGCTGCTGCTATTATTAGCACAGTGTTGGTGGGGTGATTAGCTCTGTGCAAGACTTGAGTTTAAAGAAGCTTAAAGGATGAATAGACAGATGCAAACTGGACTAGGCACTGGATATTATAAAACTATACCAGTTCTATGTGATGTGGAAAAAGGTGTGTAGATGCTGATTCTCCACTTGTTATCCTGCTGGCCACAGCATTTCTAGTGCTTAACAGCTAATGGGCTGCAGTGTGAGCTGCTGCTCCTCAGTGTATGAAGGTGGAGCAGGCTGGGTGCCCAGGAGGGGTTCCCCATGCTGAGATGTGCAGTGGGGTGGGCAGGTTTACAAGGACTTGGGGTAAAGAAGTCACTGCCTGCAGGGCTGGCTCTGTTCCTGTCAGTAGCTGTGAAGGACAATTTTGCAGGAGAAAAACAACTCTAAACACTTGTTTCAGTCCAAAAGTATTTTGGTGTGGTGCAGTTTAGGAAGTTTGCAGCTGTGAAACTCCTTGCTACAGGATATTGGGGATGCTGTTAGTTTTCATAATCTGAAGAGGATGCAAAGGGAGTTCATGGGAGAGAAGATCAGGGAGAATTAGCAAATACAAGGAAACTACTTCTTCTGTGGTATGGCCCTGGCTTTTGTCCTGATTTTCCTATGATCTGCAGCACCTCCTTTGGCTGCCGTGAAGAAGGAATGTTCTCCCACAAAATGCCCTGGTGGAGAGCAAACGGCCGCTATGTGCTGTGCAAGCCTCCCTCCTCCCCTCAGGAGGCACCACAACCACAGCACCTGCTGACGCCCCAGAGCACACAGCATGGCTGCTAGCCTTGGGCATGGCTTCACTTCCTCCATAGGGCACCTTTATTACAGACTGCTTGGGATAACTTTCTGTGACAGAAAAACCAAATTCTCTGTCCTTCTCTGCCTTGTTTTTATTCGTCCTTCAGAGCACATGCCCACTTCGTTTTTCCAGGCAGACCTGCATTGTTGTCTGGGCACAGAGGCACCATCTGCTCAAAGGGGACAGGCATTACTCCTTGGTGTAAGCTATAGCCTTTGATAGATATTTCTTTGATTGTGTCACACAAACAGACCCAAATCATGGTATGTGCCCCAGCCACTCATCTTTGCCCTCTTTAGGGGCTTCTCACTGGCAGCGACCCCTCTCCTTCCTGCCATGTGCAGGATGCCCCGTCGTTTGCTAGTTCCTGAGTGGTCTGAGCTTGTACAGCCTTGTGGCTCCTTGTACAGCCCTTGTGCAGAAGACAAGGATGGGGCTTCAGGCACTGCTGGCAGAGGATACTTGAGTCCCACTCCTGCTCACACAGGGGGAGAAGGGACTGCCAGATACCACCATCCTCCCTGATTTGTGCTAAAGACAGGCATGTACCTCTGGTCTGACACGTGGAGGAGAGGAAGGGATGGATGTCTGGTGCTTGACTTTTGCTGGATTTTGTGTCTCTCCAAAGCACTGTCCAAAAGAGGACCCTGATGGGGCTCTTCCACTTCCTCTGCATGCTAGGAGTTGCTGGGGGATGTGCTGATTTCGGGGCAGGGCAAGCCAAGCATTTTGGAGCTCTTTGGAGCTGACTTATAAATGCAAAGCTTTTTTTCAGACTGAGTACATAGAGCAAGACCCTTGCTGTCTCCTGGAGCAGTCACCACATTTGGAAATGCAGGTTTGTTTCCTTCTATGAGGTCTCACACAAAAACAGTCACTAAGTGGCTGTCAAAGGCCGAGGTGGTGGAAATTTCCTGCTTCTAGTATTGCAGAGTCGAAGTGAGGCACAGCTTGGGAGATTAATGCGATGATTATGAGGAGTTTGGAACGGGTCCTAACGCATCACAAAAAGCAAAGAAATCCTGCAGTTCAATGTGCTGACTGTTCACAGGGCTGTTCTGCCTCTTCACCGCTCACCTCCTGAAGCTCTGTCGTTAAAAAGAGTATGGTTAAATGAGCTCCAGTGAAACAATCCTCTAAAAAACTCTGGTTGTTGCTCAGAGCTTGATCACTAGCTGGGGTAGAGATGAACTGCTCCTGCCCTAATCCCCCTTAAAGAATGTTTTTCTGTTACCAAAATGTTTGTTGTGAATTCTTTTGGCTTCACATCCAAAATGATTAAAAACTTGTTTTTTCCAGATGCTTCTTTTGAAAACTGCTCACTCCATTTGGAGTGGTCTTTTATACATTTCTGAATCTAAATTATTTCCCTGGAAGAAACTACACACTGTCCTGGAGCTTCTGAAATTAATCACTCAGGTAAACACTTCCTTCTTTTTTGCTGCCAGTTTGGAACAGAAAAAATTCTGCGTAAATCTTTCCTCCCTAATAAAATCTAGTGCAAAACCTCCGTTCATCTGAAGGATTCTACTGCAGCACCCTATCAGTATGTGGAGACTGTTTTCATCCTGAAAAGATTTTACTGTGCCTTTATGCTAACTTCATCAGAAAAAAAGCACCCTCTAAAATTCAGGGCCATTTTGGAGATGCTGCTGTCCTACATTAACTAATTTGCTGTTTTATTGAAACCACAAACTTGTGGGGAACAATTCTGTGCCAGACCTTTTCAATGGGCTGGTTGTGCTCAGGTAAGCGCTCAGTACTGCAAAAGTTGCACAATCCAGCCCTTCACCTTGTGTGAGAATATCCTTTTACAAGCTCTAAGATCAGAAGTGCCTGCAATATTTTTACTTCATTGCAGTTCTCTTTAGCAATGAAGGACTGTGTGTGTGAGATGTTTATTGGGCAAACACCATGGCTTCAAACTCCTGCAAGTGAAACTGCCTTTATTGATTTTCACTGTCCCAGGCATGCCAAAAGAAAATACATACACCAAATGAGGATCTTCAGATGCCATTTGGGGATAAATGTTTACAAAGACATGACTTACAGACAAAGAAACATGCTCCTGGCTGAAAAAAAGTTTCCAAGCTTTATGTTGTCTCTGTATTTGCTGATCTGGTTCAGCCAAGGAAATAGCAGTGAGTGCCTGGCTGGTCAGCCGTGCCTTGGTACCTGGATCCAGAATTGGGCAGGGAGCAGACATATGGCTGAGGAAGCAGGTCACTCCTTTTGTCTGCTCTGTGTATTTTGCTGAAGCCTCAAGAGGAGAGCCAGACGGTGATATTCATTCCAGTGGCACTGAGCAGCGGACACTAGCCTGCTGGGAAAAGATCCAACACCATCAATTCATTTTCATTTCCCATGAATGGTGAGAGTATTGATTTAATCCAAGGGTTAGAATTGACAACGCCATATCCATGCTTGCTGATATATAGCTTTGCTTTCCTTGTGACTTAGAGCATTTGGGAAGTGGCTTTAAATGAACAGCTTTTGTGTCTTCTTCCAGGAAGGAACTGGTGAAGGTTCATGGAGACATGGGTGCTCTGGCACAGCCCTCATGAGGCTGGATGGATCCTGGGCAGATGGGACATTACTTTGGTTGTTGTGGTCAGCCTACAAATTTCTTTAATTTGCTGAAGGAATCGGGCCTTACAGGGCTATAGGGCTTCATAAACAACTTTAATTTTCTCTTTCCCTATCCTGACTCAGATCCTCAGGTGAAGAAGATGTGAAGCTTTGATTCAAAACTCCACATCCTACAGTTGATGTCTTAGGTGACCGTGTCCCACATTTAACAGCAAGTTAATTTGGTTTCTGTATTTTAAAAAAATACATGGAGGTCTCCGACCTTTTCACTTGAGTTAAACATATATGCAAAGGCAGTGGAGGGTGGTGTTGCAGTGCTGCCTTTAATTTGGCTGGTCTGACCAGCAGTGTCATGGATGTCAGCAAGAGGTCTTGAGACTCTCGACTTCAAATGTTTGTAAAAATACCTTTCCTAATGTTGCTGGCACAGCCCTGACTGCACACACAGGAACCCCACCTTCAGTTGCTGGTAGGTGGCTCTGATTCCCTATGCTTTTCGTGCCAAGGGATTTTGCAATTTTTTTTGTGTAACTTGGATGGAAAATGGTATTTCAGTGTTTTTTCTGTGACTGCTGCTTTTACTCTCCTTCCCCTGATATATATCTTGGAGAGTTTATACATCTTAATGAAATTATGCAAAGGGGAGGTGGTGCCCAGAGGAAAGGAGAAAGTGGAAAAATTATATAAGCTTCCAGAAATAACATGGAAACCAATTTTTTTCTGTAGTACTGAAATCCTGTTCTAGATGACTAAATTAAAAGTGTTTGTAGTAATACACTGAAGAGACAATGTAAGTGTACAAGTGTCTGCTAGGAACACCCACCTGAATGGGATTCCACCTGTACAAGCACTGCCACCAGAGAGTTTTGCTGGCATAGCTGGGGGTTTTTTAGGGGACAGGCACTGGGATGGCCCCTTTCAAATGCCATCTGATGAATCACAGTTTTCTGAGGTGGTTGTGGAGCAATCTTTGGCTCCGCACATGAATTCCACTGAACAAGAGCAACGCAGGAAAAATTTCTTGTACATCATACGAGGCTAAAGCTGGAGCCAGTCTAGCCCATGTCTGTTCCCAGGGCAGCCAACTTACACGTGGTCTCTGACCCGCACCTAGCTGGAACTGGCTTTTGTATGCATGTGTGAGCTGGGCAACCAGAGTGCTTGGTGCCAGTGTGAGGCTTTGCCTCCAGTATATCCTTTTCCAAAGCCTGGTATTTTGCGTGCAGGAATGTGGCAGGGGGCAAGGCAAGCTGATTGCTTTGTGGAATGTTAGTCCTGGTGGCCTGGGTCTCTGGGCCTAACATTATGCTAGATGTATATGTTTGCATTTATTATTGCCTCTCATGAAAAATACATAAGTAGATATCTCTCACTCTGTAGCTTTCTGTTAGTTTGCCTGTAGTTGTTGTAGTCATAACTGGGAAGGGACAAGGAAAAAGGGAGAGGTGTATCTCAGCCACAGGGCAGATCTGGGTCAGAGCCCAGAATAAACTCAGTTCACCAGTACCCATAGCTCGAGGTAACTGGGCTGGGTGGAAATTGTTGACAGGAGGGGGAAATGTATGCATTTCCTTTTTGTTTGAATCGTGATTTGCCCTTTCTGTCCCAGATTGCATAACATACATCACTTAGAAGGTTAAAATACAAGTCTTCGTGACTCACTCCCAGAGCTACCTAAAATACTTTTGGGATTTGTGCAGTGGTGAAGGGGGTGAATCTAATAACCTTGTAGAAGTTGAGGTTACATGTCCCTTGGTAGCAAAAAAAGGTGAAAAAAACCTGCCTTTGAATCCCCCATCACCACAATACTCACTCCTGCCCTTTCTCAGAAGTTCCTTTCAGGAGAGCTGATTCAGCTGTTTGTGTGGCTGCACATAAACTGGATGAAAGAATGAGATTTTGAAAAGCCCTCAAAAAGGGAGGGGTTGTGAACCTGTGCAGAAAACACATGTTGTGCATCCATATTAAGATCTATAGTTGTGCTTAGATGAGGTTATCTGCACTTAAAGTGCTTCTGGATTGGGACCACAGATGATGAGGCTTGCTGGAATCACGTGCCCAAGAAGTATATGACCTTGGAGCACAGAGCTGAGTGAAAGCCATGTTTCACTAGGATTTTTGAGAGGCAGCCAGCACTGTTTTCAAAGTGCTCTCAAGTATTGTGGAGGAAATGTTGACAGATACTGCAATACTCACACTGATGAATATGCTCAGGCTGCACTGAGCATCTCTACATTTGTGCCAGGACTTGAGACCCAGCATAACAAGTGCAATACAAGAGGAGGAGGAAGGAAAAGCTGATAGTGGGCAGATGCTTTCTGTCATTTTCTGGATGAGCTGCTTTGGCCTCAGCGGAAGAAGCTGTCCCCAGGCAGGCAGAGCTGCTCTGTGGAGCGGAGCAGGCAGAGTTACCAGGGCACAAGTCATTTTTCAGACCACAGAGTGAAGTTTCTTTCCCAGGGCAGAGCTGGGGGCATCACTGTCAAGGCACGAATCTCCCTGATACCCTGGAGCTGCTGCCCTGATGGCTGACACATGTGGGAGGGTGTGGGGGGTGGCACAGCACCCACCTTTTGCAGTTACTAAGCTTACGTGGTCTCCAGACCAAGGCTCCAAAGTGAGTTTACCAGCACAATTATTGAGCTAACAGAGTGTGTAATCATCAGATGTTTCACAGAAATCAGAATGTTTGGAGGCTCCTCATTGCAGATTAAGTCAAAGCACAACAAGTGGAAAGCACAGAGAATAATTATTTTCAGCATTAAATTTTCAGATCACACTACATGCAAAAACTTGATTCAGAAACATGTGCAGCATATGTAGGTTTTATGAGCCTTGAACAGTAAAGAGTTTGCTGAAATTTCTATCATTCTTGAAGTGCATGGGAAGTAGCATGCATGCAGTGAGAAAGAAGCTGTATCTGTTTTCTTCTCTTACACATTTTAAAGGGTTTTGTATATGTTCCTTGTTTTCATAAAACTATGCAGTGATTCCCCTATAAAATGTCAGTAACCTGGAAACAAACTGTGACATGAAAGTTTGACTGTGTTCCATGATGTACACATTGTATCATAAACACAACAAAAACACATGGCAATTTTCCCTTCCTGCACATTGGGAAAATTTCTTCTGCAGACTAGCTTCTTCAGTAATACTCACCAACATAGCACAACTTAAGGAACAAAATGCTGAGCACTCTCATGGCAGGATATATTGGGCCACGTGGAAATTTTTCCTGGAATGAACTACTTTGGAAACACAGAAAAAAATATGTGAAATGTTATGTCAAATCATATGTTGACATTCTGGTGATTCTGTCACGAGTCTTGTAACAGGGTTTGCTGTACACCTCTGCAGTTTGATTCTAGAGAGCCTGGAAACCTGAGCTATAAGTAACAATAAAAACAATAAATTAAAAATGAGAAAAATATTGCTCAATCACACTGAAAAGTGTAAAAATAAAGCACAAGAGCAAAGACTCAGAAAAAGTGGCCTCCAAGTGCAAATATATATACCCTCAACCTTTTTTTTTTCCTCCTCTCTTTTTAAACTTATTTTCAAACTCTGTGTGACTTCACGGCAGTTTTGAGGCAGAAGGCACAGGAGCATGGGCAGCCTCATACCTCTGTGACCAGATCCTGTAGGAAACCCATATCCAAGCTTACTGCAGCATGAAAGAAAAGGAGGCATGCCCTCTTCTACCCATTTCCCTACAAAAGCAGTAACAAATACTTTACCATGTCCCACTAACTGTACAGAGAGAAAATGTCAGAGTGTACACAGCAGCCTGCTGTATGTTTTCTTCTGCTTCTGTGGCAGGGATGAGTTTTCTGTTTCTGAAGAACCCCCCTCATGGTGTATTGCCTGGAGTAGGTCCCTTCCCATCTGGGGTGCTCCTCTTCAGACTTCTCTTTTTCTTTCTGTAGCAAGCCCAAGGACTTGTCTCTACAAACCATAGCCATAAGAGGACTAGAGACCAAGATCTTTGGTCTTAGAACCACAGAATCATTAGGGTTGCAAGGGACCTCTGGAGATCATCTAGTCCAACCCCCTGCCTGCCTAGTGTGGGAATTAGAGCCTGGAAAAACTTTTAAAGCGAGCAGGTTATACAGGAATGTGTCCACGTGGGTTTGGAATGTCTCCAGAGAGGGAGACTCCATGACCTCCCTGGGCAGCCTGTTCTATCCCTCTGCCACCCTCAAAATAAAGAAGTTCTTAATGTTGAGGTGGAACTGCTTGTGAAGTCTTCAGCCACCTGAGCTGTATTTTTTCCCTAGAAGGTGCTTTTTCACAACCTCTCGTTTGGCTTTCTTGTCTTCAGTCAGAGTAACAGAATTCTAGTTAATGGTGGCTTTTATTTTAAAGGGAAAGAGCAATGCAAGGAAAGTAAAGTACTTCACTGATAATTTAGTGATTACTAGAAAGTTGCTCTGCAAAGATAATTTCTGTGTCATAATGAAGCTGATATCTTCTCTCTATATCCAACCAACCAGCTACTGGCAATCATGCCAAAAACCAAACCAAAACCCGAAATGGGTTTTCTATTACCTGTACTTCAGTGTTCTACTGTGACCCAAGAGTTATGGCAATGGCTCTCTTTGGCAAGTACCCACTGCTTCTTGTGGGATGCTACCGAAGCTCCAGCAGGGCCACAGCAGGATGCAAGCTCCAGCAGGTTTGTGCTATGGCATATCTGAAAGCTTCTAGTCTTTTCTGTAAAGAGCTATATGAAGAAGTTTGTTAAGTTTGGTTGACTTTTGATCTATATTCTAAGTGGGTTTTTTCCCTGTAGTAAAGGATAACGTGATTAGTGTGTTTCTGTATTAGGATGCTTCCACTCCCTCCTTTTGAATTTTAGGGCATCTTTTATGCTTGTATTCTCAATATATACCTACAGAGGCCATAATATTTGACCTTTGGAAATCCCATGTTATGGCTCTGATTTATGCTGTGATGACAGACATAAGAGCCCACTGAAATCAGTGTGGCTCTGGATGGTTACCATGGTTCTTCTCTGAGCCTCAGATGGAAGGATCTGCTTCTATGTTAATATCTAAGAAGAAACAAAGGGAATTGGAATTCATGGTTTATAAAGAATCAATGTAATTTTCATGTTCCTACCTCACTCCCCATCATCCTAAAATGCAAAGAAAGCTAAATGTCAAGTGTTAGTGGAGATGTATGTTAAAAATTAAAATATATATTTTTTTCCACTGCTGTGAATACTGTTTTAATGGCACTGGAGAGATGTGCTGTTGCAGACAGGTGCTCCTGTAGATTTAAATACTATGTCAATCACACCTACTATGTCAATCACAGGGTTAAGAGGCAGACAGCTTTCATCAAAGGCCAGACGAACCCCTCCCAATTTAGATCAACTCCACTGCAATTAAACAGTGTTAGTGTTAGGCCTTCACAATTGTCAGTACCTGGTTGTTACCCACTGTTAGCAGCAGTTGATAGTTATTCTACAGAATTTCTTTAGGTTTTAAAAAATGCTTTAAATGAAAACATAGAGGAAAACACAGCACTTGGAAAAACGAGGAGAGGGTGTGGGTAGTTACAGTACTGAACTGCAGAAGAGCTGTATTTCATAGTAACTGTGCTGCTGTTTGTTCTTGGAAAAATCACTTATTGTTCTCTTATCCCTGTACTGCTCTGAAGAATCTACAAAAGAAACCATTAAGAAAACAAATTCAAGGAAGCAGTGGAACGTGAATTCAAGAGCAGAATGTGATTGCACAAGGAGATTCTACACCGAACTGAAACATTCATGCTTTGGATCATTGAGAACAAATGAAGTACAATACCGGTCTGTTCCCTTTCTATTCTTATGTCTCCGTTTTGTTTTACTTTCCTTAGCTTAGATTTTTTTTCCTTTTTGGAGTCCTGCAGGGAGGAAAAAGGAGCCTTTGTTTTAAAAAGTCTGAGACCAACAGTGGCCCATTGATCATAATTAAGTCTAAAATAATACGCTTTTGCTGACCTGTTTGTATTGAATCCAAAAAATTTTATGTTATACCTGCTGTAGTCTTGGTCTGCCCCCAGATTCAGTTGCTTGTTCCTGAGCTTCTGGTTCTGGGGCAATAGCTTTAAAAGCCTAAATAAACCTGTGTGTTTTCAGGGCTGCATGTTCTGTATAAGAACAAATCGATCATAATCAGATGTTGTCTTTGTCATGTACTCTCTTTTCTTTGACAGACAGCTGTCCCCATAACAACCATCTCTGTTGTCAATAACTTCCTCAGATCATGAAATGGCACACAGGATGGCGGTAGTTCTCATAGTAACACTGGGAGGTTGCATAAAAATTTTAAGTAATCTTGCCGTGATGTGCTTGGACCCAATTCAGAGCTTCCTGAAGTCTGTATGAAACTCTGCTGATTTCAACAACCATTCATCTCTTCAGGGGCTGCTTCTGACCTTTTGAATTCAGGTTTTTAACATGACAAACTACAGAGGCTTAACCCTGTGGCTCTTGGTAGTCTAGTATGCTCTAATGAGTCAATATGCTTAGTTGTAGAACAAATATGCTTCAGGAAAATAGTGGAGAGATTCACAAAAAATATGTCTTGGCATCATTATCCTATGAATGGGGAGTGTTCGGTGCCTTGGACATGCTTCTATCTGTTCTCAGCCTGGGTCTTTACAGACACCCACAACACACACGCAGGCATAGTCCCATCCAGCTCCTAAGAATGCATGCTCAGGATAAAAGCCCTTCAAGGGTCACCCAATACCTGTCTCCCAGACTGCTCATTTGACTCACCAGCTGGTCTGGTTTGGAGTTCATTACCAGATCAGATGCACAGACATAGAATAGAGAACACAATCACACGGAAGGTAGTTAAAAACGGAATTTAAAAAGAGGATAGGACAGACAGTGGCAATTAGCCATGGGGCTCAGTCACACAAACATACTGCCCAGCAGCCTGCTTACATGCAGATGGCCTTTTTTTATATCCTTGCTCCAACACACCTCAATCTTTTTAGCTCTTCCCTGATCTGCCTTTGTGCCTCCCTTCCTTGTCTTTGGCCTTTTCCCTAAACATCTTATAATAATCCTGTATCATTGTAATAGTCTCCTAATCAATCACAGTGTTTCCCTCTCAGACACTTTCTTGTAAATCCTGCTCTCCTTTATGCAATAGTCCCCTTAGGTTGTACAGCCTACCAGAGAGTTTCGATTGTTGAATTTCTCAGTAGGTTTTGCATCAGGGAAACAGCTTTGGTAGTCTTAGGGACAATTGACTCAGATGAACCCAGTTTTCTGGATTTTTGTGTTTATTTTGAATAACCATTAGCTACACTGATCACAAATCTATCTATTCTGCATTATTTACTCCCTTCAGAGCTGCTTATTCAATACCATTATCATTAAAAATCTCATTTGGCCCAACCAGATGAATCGGAATAGGGTGAGAATCCACTTAGTGCATTCCACAGCAACCCACCCTGCAGCATGCATTGAGTCCTCAAGCAGAGATTATACTTTACAGTTTTGACTGCTGTGTTTTTTAGGGCATCTGAGAACACAGGCTTGGTACTGACTTGCTACTGAGGATAGCCTTCGGATTCTGTACAGGTATATGCTATGGTTTAATCCATCAGGTTTTTTATTTCATATAGAGCTGTGCCTGTGTGTTTTCTTGCCTGGGAAAAATCTTCAAATATGTTGTATTTTTTTCTTCTTTTTTTCTTGAGAAGTGACAACATCTGTGCAGGTTATGGTGCAGTGGTGACCAGGCCCTCACAGGCTGGCCCAGGCAGATGCCCAGCAGGAGCCCCTCCAGCTGTACAACTCACAGGTGGGCCTGCGCCTGTCTCCAGGGCAGCAGGATGCTGCTCCATACAGGTCTGAGCCCATCTGCAAGGCAGTGGGATCTGGTCCTTGTGCCTGTTCACAAGCACAAGTCTGCAGATCAGGCTGTGCAGTGCCGAACAACTACTGCACAAAAGGCTGCAGAAAAGAGGGTGCTATGTTGCAAACACGAGACGCACAGCCTTGGACATTCAGGAAAATGTCTACTGCACGAATCTCATGTTCAGTGCAAGAAACTTGTCTGGTCTGCACGAGGGTGTGGGTGTAGAGGGATGGGTACACAAACAGGTCTGTGTGAGGGGTATTTGGTTTTTGAACATTTAAATCATTGCTCTGCCCAAGCATAACGTATCATTGGACAAGTTGGTGGTAAAGCCGAAGGAAAGGTTCCCTTTGGCAGGGAATAACCACTGTCTCCGCATGTATGTCTCCTCCGATGCTGGGGTGAGAAGGGAGCCGGGAGCTGCGGTTCACATTCGTTCGCAACTACTGCCATCCAGAGCTCGGGGGGCGAAACTGCTCTGCCAGGCTCAGGGTTGAGTCTGTTGCAAAACTTGGACTCTTGACCTCGGTGAATTGTTGTGGTTTTTTTTGCTTTCCTGCAATGGGGTTTTTATTACTTTTTGGATGGGGAGAAACTGTAATTTTTTGATGCCATCCTGCCAGCCACCCAAGACTCAAGGAAGCCCTATTTCCCGGGCAAAATCAAACCTCGGGAGATAGCGGCTTTGCCTACTCGTGCAGCCTGAAAGTTCACCCACAGCCTGTCCTCACAGTCATATTCCCAGGTTTTCTGTACCAGATCTGCTCATTGCCATATAATTTTTTTCCTCTCTCTTTTTGTTTCTTTTTGTCAGGGTTTTATAAAACATTAAGAAACAATAGGGAATGAAATACTTCTCCGCATGTGATCTTCACATAGGTCGTTGGGGTTTTTTTGCATGATCATGTATCTGGGCAAAGTCGTTTTCTTCTTCAAATTTTTGTTTGCATAGAGGAATAAAAGTGTTACCTTACGACTAACCTAAAATGAAAGTCTATGTTTAATGTTAGCCTGTTTCTTTCAGTGCAGCCTGTTACAGATGCCAGAATACTTTATCTCAGGATTGGTGGATCATAGAATCATGGAATCATTGAATGTTGAGGGATTGAAAGTGTAGGAAATAAATAGGACGGTTTTATTACAAGCAGGGGTTTCCATGGCTGCCTCGTGCTGGGGCACTTGGGAGCCATTTTGTTTAAAGGACTGGGGAACTATTTTGTGGTCAGGGACTAGTGGACTGCTTATGATTCTGCTTGAAGTTGCTTATTGCTGCTGCCTACTTGCTGCTACATACAGTTCTGCTTGGGGTTGCCTATTGCTCTGCTTATAGTTCTGCCTGCTTACTGCTACTTATTGTTACTTATTGTTCTGTTTGCTTTACAGTTCGAAGGTGAGCAGGGAAGAATGTAAGGTGGTGAGACCAGCCTGGGCTCACTGCCAGGGAACCATGCGGCCTGCGGCAGGGACACAACCTGGTAGGTGGATGAAGACAACCAACGGGCTGCACCAGAAAGTGAAGATTGCCTTTTAAGAAAGAAAAGAGCGAGGCCTAGCATGGGAGGAGCGAGGGAGTGGTTGTGCAAATCGAAGGGTCTTAAAGGGGCTCGTCCCTCCCAGTCAGGTGTGCTCAAACCTGGTCATGAGTTTGATGCAGCCAGCGCGCTGTTAATAAAGTTCTTTGTTTCACTTTATTTGGCCATCTTCTAAATTTTAAGTAGAGATATTTCTCACAAAAGGGACCTTAAAGATCATCCTGTCCCAGCTCCCCCTGCCATGGGCATGGACATCCCCCACTAGACAAGGTTGCTCAAGGCCTTACATGTTCTGGCCTTGAGCACTGCCAGGGATGGGACATCCACCACGTCCATAGGCAACTTGTTCCAGTGCCTCACCACCCTCACAGTAAAGACTTTCTTCCTTAAACTGATATTGTTATGTTCATTGAAGGAGAAGCATCACGGGAGAGTCATTGCTGAAATAAACGGTTTATTTTGTAAAGCCACTTGGTTTGCAACACCGCAGCAGCGCACACTGGGAGCTGGCAGGGCACCTCATGCCTGAGGCTGTGCAGCTGCAGGGATGCCGCTGAGGGCTCACTCCCGCCAGGCACTGCCTGACCTCAAGGGAGCGTTTTTTACAGCGGCCACTTCAACAGGGCCCGCGGGCATGTGTGTGGGAGGCTGAAGGTGTGGATGTTCTGCCACTCCTCGTCCTGCAGCGGCCTCAAGCGAGACAGAGCCCTTCGCCAGAACACAAAATGGCGGATGCCAGGGCTTAAAATGGCCGCCGCGCAGCCTCCCTCGTGACCCGGCTGGTCCAGGAGCCGCGCGCAGCGCTGTGCGCGGCCGTCCCCGGCCCCTGCTCACATGACGCATAGCCGGGCCAATCGGCGCACGCCGTGGCCGTGCGTGCCGCGCGTCGGGCCCGCCTCGCCGCGTTGTGGTGGAAGGCGCCATTGGAGCCGCCGGAGCCGCGGGAGCAGCGCTCGCCGCCGCCGCCGCCATGGACTACGGGGAAGGTGAGGGCGCGCCCCCGCTGCAAGGGCAGGGCCTGGCCGCCGCCGCTGCTGCCGCTGCGGGGCCCCGCCGCGGCTCAAAATGGCAGCGGCCGCTTTGTTACGCGCAGGACGGAGCTCCCCTCACCCACCTCCTCGTCCTCCTCCGCGCCGCCACTGCCGGGCTGGGGGAAGCTGCGGCGGCGGCCGGCGGCGGGAGGGCTGCGCGGGAGGAGGGCCCTCCCGGGGAGGGGCGCGGGCGGCGGGGGGCGCGGGCGGGGGCGGTGCCCCGCGGGGCGAGGCGCCCTGGGGCGCGGGGAGAGCGGGGGGCGAGGGGGCGGTGGCGGCGGGCGGGGGGCGCGGGCAGAGCCGGGGGAGCTCGGGGCGAGCTCTGTGAGGGGGTCGTGTCAGGAGCCTGGAGATCCGACAGGAGAGAGAGCTGCCTCTTGTTGCGGCTCCCTGTCTCTCCCCTCCAGCTCTTGCTAAGCACTAAGTCATTCTCACTGACCCATCCTCTCCAGCTGAAGACAGAGATTGGAGATTCCCAGATACCCCCATGCATTGTGGTGTGAACATGCCCAGTGGGTCAGTCTCAGGTATGAGCTATAAATACGTCTAACCTGTAAAAAGAGTTGGGGCTGAACAGTCAGTGTTGACAAAAACGAAAAGCAAACGGGTTGTTAGAAGTGCATAACATGGTTTAAGTGCACATGTTGTTTTCTGGAGGAGTTATAACTGTCTGGGAGTGAGACTCGATTTTCATCTTGGGCATGTCAACATGAACTCCTGCACGTTCCAAATCAAAATTGTGAGATCAAGGAATGGGGATGGGGGTGGCGGGGGGAAATACAGACTTTTCTTATGATGATGATTTTTTGCATAACTATTTTCTTACAAAGTACTGTATTTGATTCTTACTACTTCTGTTGAAAAGAAAGGATATTCCCCTTCTTTTATACAAACATGGAAAAAACCCCAGAATCTGTAACTACTTGAGTTTTATTTATTTACTTTTTTTCATAAAGTTTACCTTAACTAACAGTTTGGGAAGGAATATAGGAAGCATATAAAGTAAATGTGAAACACCAAAAGCTAGCTCTTGTTTTTGCACTGTCAAAAGTACCAAACAGATAAACAAAAAGGAATGCACTTATTTTTGTAAGATGATTAAGTTTGTGAGTTTAGTAAGACTCAAGAAATGATTTGACATCTCTTGCTAGCATGCAATCAAGTACTAAAAGGATGTTAATATAAAACCTTTACTGTAAACTGTACCCAAGCTTCATTTACAGATGCCGGCAAATAAGCGCTTGCTGTTGGATCTCTTGATGCTCTTGCTGGCTGTTGGATGGAAATGACACATCGGATTACAGAGGCATCTTTGATTGCAGTATAATCATTTTTGTGATACATTTCTTGAGTCTTAACTTTTTTTTCCCCCAATGATATTATTTTGCATTTATCTTTCATTATAGTAAAATAAATAAATTAAATCTATGGCCCTGTTTTTTCATTTTCTATATTGATTCTTAATTGAATGTCCTTCTGATTTTTATTATAAAAAGTTATTATTAAGTGGCAGCTTAAATGTCTTCTTGGGATATTCACTGTAACCGTTAATCAGAACCTGCTTTTCTGAGATCTAATGACAGTAGTATTAAAGTGAATCCAGGCTCATCCTATGGAAAGTAACTAATCAAATGTGTGTTGTACAGTTAGCATGTTCCTTTTATGTACCTCTGTAATATGAGTTTTCATTATGATAATTAAGCTATTATTTGTATTTATTAAAAAATTTTAATTATGATGTATGTGGTTTGAGACTTTTACAATGACTGTTTATGCACTGTGTGTACATGAGCAAGGCATGCAAAAAGAGTCTTACCCCAGTTCTGCACAGGGAGCTGAAGGCTGTTTTGTGGGGGTCCAGTAGATGGCAACATAGGATGGATGTTGGGAATTCTCATCTTTGTCCGGTTTTCATTTGAGCTTTTGGCAAGGTTCCTACTGTTGGAAACTTTTAGCCAGTGAGAAGCACTTTTAGTTGGATATCTGATGACTTCTGTAATTTCACTATTGTCCCTTGCTGACGACTCTGAGACAGGGTTGACACGCTCTGCAGTATAAATTCTGTAAATATTATTATCAGAAATATTAACTGTTCATGTTAATATTTTAGTTACTGCAACTACTGTCCTTCTAATCTGGAAGGGGAAATGGCCTAATGAGAAGGTTGTGATCCTAATATAGACATAGTGTTATGAAAATGTAATGTGCCTGGAAAAAATATCGCTTCTTATTGCACAGTGGATCCTTAAGGTTGTTGCAGTCATTGTGGATTATGAATTTAAAATATAGTGAAATTTAGCTTCTTAAATTTATTATTTATTGCTGAAAGATCTTTCTCCTTTCTCATTTTCCTAGCCTTTTCATATACTTCACATGGAGAACACTGTTGAAAATGATATCTTCTCTTTTTACTGTAAATATGATTTCAATTTTCTCTGATCTTAAACTTTTTTTTTAAATAGAGTCGTTGTGCCAAGAGATTCTGAGTGTTATCTACTATGTCTTTAACTTCTTACTTCTTTTTATAAGGAAATTTTGATTTTTCTTTATTGGCTATTGAGATTTATTTCACAGCTATTTTAAATGATTTCTCCACCAGATATGGCTTCTTTTTTTTTTTTTTTAATTAATCTGAAGGAATACTTGTACATTAACATCTTAATTTGTAAATTAAACTTATCTTTTAGTGTCCCATTCTTTTTTTTTTTAGAGGTAATATTTTTTTCACCTTTGACATAACTCTTCTCTCTTGTCTATATCAGTAGACTTTTAAGTATGATATAGAAACTAAAAACGAGATAGTTCTTCTTGCAAGTTCTATTTCTGTACTTCAGTTCAACACTTCATTCATCTGCACTGTATTTATACAAGAGGCTGCAGATACCAAAACCCAATTTAGTCCTTTAATAAATTCTTTGTTTAAGATACTTTGACAGTGCCTTCATCAGTTCAGAGATTCACTCTATTTTTAAACTTTAGAATATGGACCACTGTTTTTTCATATTTTTTATTCATAGATACACAGATATAATATTTCTTCAACAATTTCTTTGATAAACAGTTACTATTTAAAATAAAATGAACTTTTTTCTTTAGTGCTTAGACACATGTTCTCTTAGCATGTGAAGCAATTTCACATTTAGTCTGAATAATTTGCATGGACAGGGAACTTTTGCATATCTCTACTGGTGGTGACTGATTATTGTTTAGTTACTATATTCAAAAATTAAAGTCCTTTTAATTTTGGTTCATCTAAGTGAATATTTACTGTCGTCTTGTATGTTTTCTCCCTTTTTAGGGTAAAGCCTATCTGGAGAACAGACTTTCAAAGTAAAGAAAAGTTTAATACCTGAAGAAATACTGTGCTTGTTAATTTGAATGCAGTATCTTTGTCAGGCTCTGGACATGAAGTATAAAGTCTAGAAATCTTTGGTGAAGTTTGCAGATGACAGGATGGCTGAACCAGGAGGCCTCTGGTTGGAATGATAGGTTAACTGCTCAGCAGTGTGGAATAGTGCATGAAATAGTCAGAAGGAGATCACAAGGTCGCCTTCATTACATCAGATCAAAGATGTGTCTGTCCCACCTCACCAATATCCCGTATGTCACTGTGTTTGGGGGTGTGGAACAAGTGGTACAAGTACTCCTTTAGGATGTTTATATGCCTTCACTGGTTTGTAGCTTGGCGACTTTCTGAGCTAGAGACGTAGTGTTTGTGTTTGACATACTTTGAATTTCTTGTCAGTTGATTTATCCAATTTCTGTGTTAAATCTATATAAATTTTTAGTAACTTCTTGTTACTCAGTTCCAGTACTTGTATATATGTTTTGTGAAAAAGGATCTAATTAGCTCTTTAGCTTGTTACTTGTAAGTTTCATTTGCTACCTCCAGTTTCTTATAGTAAATCATTCAAGTGATTATTTCTCTTCACGTTTGTACTTTTGTATCCCTGTTAACCATTTTCAAATATGAATGTATTATAATGTAGGTAAATGCAGTACACTGAGTCTGGAAAGGATGAGAAAGTTGTTCGCTGTTAGGGAGGAGATGGTGATGTCCTAAAGGCAGTGATTTGAGGATTTAGGGACTGGCATAGCTCTACAGCAAGACTGCTGCTGTTATATAACATGGACTGTGGACGAGTAAGGAGAGTGTTGAGCTTATGTGGATGTCAGAAGTGACTGTAGAATGGATTTAAGTATTTGCTTTGATGCTAAACATTTTAGACTAAAAATTTATTTCAAAACTATGCTTCGAACCATTTTTTGGAAGAGTTCTTTGCCTGTGAATGGTTTTGTGTTTTTCCAATACAGAACTTCTGACATATGGACAACACTGGTCCCTACCTTACTACACTGTAGTAGAATTGCATTGCAATGGGAGGGATCTTGACAGAATGTTGTGTTCTTCCTTGTTGGATGATTAGGTTCACCTCTGCAACTCAGCCTCATTGGTTTTGTGCCCTCTTAGAGCCTGCTGATAATAGGGAGCAGGTGAAGCTGAGATAAATTATTGGGTGCTTTCAGGTCAGGTATATCAGTTTTCAGAATGTCAGTGATTAGTTATACTGTATTAAAAATACTAGCAGCCTGAATCTGAGATTGACCATGGGATCATCTAAACTTAATTTCTGGGAATCTGAGTTTGTTTTGTTGACTACCTTCCTCTTTTTGCTGGCCTGCATCTTTATGTATAGGGTCTTGAGGGTATTGTACTGGATTAGGTGGCAGATCATTCAGTCATACCAGAGAGAAACATAAGTTGCTTTTATTAGAAGCCTCAGCCATTTCTTTTTGCAGTTCAAGTTGATGATGTGTTGTGCTACGATTACTATTTTGAAAAGCTTTTTTTGTGCTTTGATTTTTGAATCTTTATTGTACGTTCAGCTTATGAAAAGGTGCAGTGTGACTTCCATGTTTAAAGTTGTTTTTTTTTCCAGAAGTATCATCTTTTAATTTTTTATAAAGTACCTATGATCATTAGAATAAAAAAAAAATCAACAGGAGGTCTTTATTTGTTGGAGTCTTTATTCAGGTATGCTAATAATATCTGTGTAAAAGTGATACAGTCAGCTCAATGCCACGTGCAGAATTTTTGTTGACAGACATGAGAAAGTAAGTTAGAGTGACATGGTGCTAATAAAAAGCAGGTACAAATGGGATATAGTTTATATAGGTATTTTCAGCACTACAGTTAGTTTCATGAAATGATATGCACACAGAATTACTGTGTTTCTTTCAATATGACAATTTCTTATGACTTCAAGTGAGCTAATTGTCCTGAAAAGTCAGTGTTTTACATGTGGAGAAATGTATAAAATACTCTCTCTTGTCAGAGTAAACTTATTTTTGTCTTTTCTGTGTTCATTCCATTTTCCTTCTCTGTGTTGCTTTTTGTGTGAGTCTTGACTTGCCAGGTTTTCTTTGTATTATCCAAAAGTTAGTGTTGGTTGGTACTGGAAAACAGTTTTGGCCTCTAGAATGCTAGTGAAGCACAAATTGTGTATGTTCCAGAAAGACAGCGGATCATACTTATTATGCAGATTTGTGACACTGTTTTAGTGCTTTGAATTTATGAGTTTTACTTTTACATAGGACTTCCAGTGCTGAGGAATAAGTTGGGAGAAAATTAATTTGTTTGACTGTAACCTATATACAGAGTCTGCACTGCAGCAAGACAGCTTGTAACCTTGACCCAAGGTCTCTGTCAGTGTGAGTGAAGGTTTTCTATGGTCTTGGATAGAGAAAACAGATGCCTGTGAGTTGTGTGTATTTTTAAAGGGTCATAAGCGGTCTTAATTCTCCACAAACTTCTGTCATATTCTACATCAGGTGTCTCCATTTTATTCTCTTAATTTAACTTGTGTTGATTCCAGCTGATGGAACAATAATCCTGGGTTACTTGCTACTGGGAAAAAAATACGAACTTGATTCCAATTGTGATGTGCTCAGATGATAACAGAGACACATGGCTTCTCTAAGCACAGTGTCAAAATTGTTTTGCAATTGGCAATTTTGTATTTTGTTTGTAAGCACCATGGCAAAGAGTAAACCTTTTACTTAAGAATTTAAACTAGATTACTTAATAAGACTTCTCACTTGCTTTCTTTATAAACATTTTTCTGCTCTTTTTTTAGACATGGACCGTGATTATGGGCATGGAGGCTATGGTGGCCCACGATCCATGGACTCTTACCTTAACCAATCCTATGGGATGGAGAGTCATGGAGGTGGAGGCGGAGGAGGTGGTGGTGGTGGTAACAGGTAAAATAATCCTTCAGTTGTCCCAAGAATTGATCAAATCCAATTTAGGTTAAAATCATTCTGTCTTCTAACTTAAGTGTTCCTGAGGCATGTTGTTACGATTTTGTACAAACACTTCCATTCTGAGTCTTCATGTCTGATAAATACTGGCAAATACTAGACTGTAAGAGCTGGATTCTGGTAATAATCAGCATTTTTGTGGAAAAGTTTGACAGTGAAACAATGCGTCTTTGAATGAAAATAGCAAAAGTTCTGTTTTTCAGTAATGACTAGCAACTTGTAGCTGATTGGCCTGTCATACCATATTTGACATAGCAGACTAGACCTGACTGGTTTAGTGCCTTAGACTGAATCTATCAACATTCCGTTTTCAAGGAACATTTAGGGTATGTGTTCTTTGGTTTGAATGTGGAGTGCTCAAATGATCTTGGTATTGAATCTGAAAGTCATGTCCAGATTATTTCATTGGCAGGTACTGATTACACTCGAAACTGTGTGCATGTTCTGGGCTGCTTTTTAAGATGGATTGGTCTAAAACTAAAAATTCTGATGCAGTGGTCTTAAAGTTGTGTATTTCATGCTAGGATTCTATTACTGTTGCTCTTTCAGTAGGGAGCAGCTGATTTGATTTAGGTCTTAATATTGTATTCAAAGAAGCATGCTTTTCAGAGTAGTGATCCGATCTTGGAGGGGATAGAATGAAAAGAAAACTTAGATAATACGATGGTTTTCTTGTGAGCGCCCTTGAATTTTTATCTGGCTGTAGCCAGACTACTGTATGATTCTTGTCTGTAGTCACTGTGGTGCCACTGGAAAAGGACAGTACTAAAATAGGGAGGCTGGAGAAGTATTGTGTTTTGCTTCTTGGTTCTGTTAAGCATTTTAGTTAAGTATAATTTGTTCAATAATGAACGTTGAGGCTGACTGAAAATTCTGAGCAGATTCAGGAATGAGTTGTACCTACCATATAGTAATCTGCATATGATTGAGGTCCAATGACTACTTGAACACCAAAATGTCTCTTGCCATGTTATGTTACTATTGTGCATGGTCATTTTCTAGTGTCATTTTCTGTGTAGCTTTGGGTCTTCTAACATATTTTAAAATTAAGGCATTCAGTTTACTATAGATACAGTTAATAAGTTGAGTCTCTCCTAGTTTACATTGTATCAGTCAAGGGATTGTCTTTCCCAGAGCCTTCTGAATCACCCTGTTATAACCCAGCAGGGACACTAATGTGTTTCCCTTCCAAGTGGTTACAAATATTGATGATTTCGAGCCTGACACTGCTCCCACCCCAGGCATAATTAAAGATTTCAGCTCCTTGTTACTTTACTCTAAAATTCCAAGGACTGTTTGTGTCCACTGTGCATGCACTGGGTAGACTTCGAAAATCCTGAGTTGCTAGACTTAATGGTCTGCAAGTGAAAGCTGGATATACTGAAGACCGTGAACTCTTTTGACTGGGAGACTGAATTTTACAGGGAAGAAAATTTCCAAAACCTACAAATGTGAATGGAAGAGCACTTGTATTTTTCCTTTAAAATGAGAACTGTGGGGTACTTAAGACTCACAACTGTACCACTAAAAAAACAAAAGATTTTTTTTTTTTCTCAGTTCAGAACTTGGCCGCCTTTTAACTGCTGTTTAACTGTTAGACTGTGAGGGTATGATTTCGAAGAAAGGAGAGTTTGACTAGCCTATGAATGTCTGCAGGTGATTATTTTTGTGAGACTAGGGCTGGGCTCTAATAATGTTTTAGTAAATACATGTTGCTGAAAATTTTTAAGTAAACAAAGTTCAGGTATACTGAACTTTAGAATTGTTTGTAGCAAAAATGGCTCAGATAGCTTTCTGTCTGGTCATAGTGTGAATTGCCCAGCCCTAATCAAGATTAAACAATAACACGACTGTACGGACCAGTATAGTAATAAATTGATTTTAGTTGATAAATGTCAACTGATAACTTGTCTTTTGTAATGTGTAACATTAGTAAGCTTACTTTTTTTTCTCCTCACTGTGCAACTTTTCCAGGTTTGGACCTTATGAGTCTTACGACTCCGGGTCTTCTCTGGGTGGGCGAGATCTGTACAGATCTGGCTATGGTTATAATGAACCCGAACAAAGCCGCTTCGGAGGTAGTTATGGTGGTCGATTTGACAACTCCTACCGGAATAGCCTTGACTCTTTCGGAGGTAGAAACCAGGGCGGGTCTAGCTGGGAAGCACCTTACTCCCGTTCAAAATTGAGGCCTGGGTTTATGGAGGACAGAGGAAGAGAGAGTTACTCTTCCTACAGCAGTTTTTCTTCACCCCATATGAAGCCTGCACCTGTAGGCTCTCGGGGGAGAGGAACGCCTGCTTATCCTGAAAGTGGATTTGGAAGCAGAAACTATGATGCTTTTGGAGGACCATCAACAGGCAGAGGCCGAGGCCGAGGAGTAAGTACAGAATCTTTTCAGATTCTTTTCACTAGACACTCTTTTAAACCCTTTCAAGACCACTGCTTTAAAATGAATGCACTGTTCAGTACAGTGTGTGGGGGTTTTGTCCAAGCAAACTATCATGGTTGACAATGTTGTTTATCCCTTTGAAGCTGTCTTCAAGTAGAACCCAGTCCCTCTTTCTAGAAGACTAGTTGATAAGGTTTGTTAAATCTCTCCTTTTGCTTGAAAGATGAAGATAAAAGTAGTAGGTTTGGTCTAAAAGGGATTAAAAGGACTTTCATTTTTCCTTGTAAACACTAGCATCTCTGATGCTGGTGGGGAAATTCTCGAATATTGTAAAAGTTGAATTCAAAGTCTTTTGAAGTTTTGAGTAGGTTAAAGGTGCAATGTATAAGCAAAAAATAAAACCCAGGTTGTGAATGCTAGGGTAGTTTTTGTTTTCTGTAAAGGCCAAAGTTTAGCTAATACTTAAGTGTGTTGAATACATGTTTTATTAAACATCAAGTCTTCTTTTAAATTTAACTCTTGCTCTGACTTGTATATTGGAAGGGTGATGGGGAGAAAATGGCAAAGGTGAGTGGTTAGCAGTTACAGTGATTCTTTCTCAAAATTAAAGCATGGTTAAAGGGACATCATCAATTTGAAATCAGGTCCTTTCACAGAATTGAAATCAGTTTCCACATAGTGTACCTAGACCTATTACTTGTATTAATTTGATTTGAAGATTTATGTTATAACTCCTTTTCAGTGGATTCCGTTCCAGTGTAGGATGTAAAAACTGTGTCCAAGGAACAGCATGATTAACTGTATGCAAAACAGCGGATCGCAGTTTGAAGAAGTAATGCTTGATGTTAAGTGAGTTGGGGGGAAAAAAAAACAGTAGAAGAGGATAAAAAAACTCACCAACCTGACAGAAGTACTAACTTTAAGTTGATGGTGTCCCTTTGTCTTGGTTTTATAATACCAGTTCTGGCTGTTTTTTAAAGTACGAAGAGTTCAGTGAACACTTTTCTGCCTGTGCCTGTAGGTGTAACTTATCTTTTAAAATTTCTAAGTGTGCTATATTTCTTTGGGAAGGGATTCTTTAATTTTAAACCATACAACTTATTGTAGTTTGAAACTTAGAGGAAGATTGTTTTTTTACTGGGTCTTCTAAATGCCTATTTGTGTGGTGGTTTTGTTCCAGAACGTCTTCTTTGCAGCATCCTTGAGTATTGTAGTTGCCATATTCAAATTTTAGCTCAGATTTGCACATGGCTGTTAGGTAGCATGTAGCATGGTATGAGAAATAGATTCTAATCTTTGTTTCTCTACTTGTGACGCTGAAAGTGTTATGTTCTTAAGCCTCAGTTCCATCCTTTCAGAATTCATTTAGATCCGAAAGCTTTGTGCAGTTACAACTGAGTTCTTTTTTACTTTGCTTTTGAAATTTATCCTTTTAGTCTTTTATGTAATAAAGGAAAATGTAAGGGCTAAACTACTTACCATATGTAAAATGCATTGCACCTTTAATAGGTAGATTGTCTGTTTAAAAAAAACCTGAACTTGAAATGATCCAAGTGCGTACTTCATGTCAAATTGATGTGACCAGTGTAAATGTACATGCTAGGTAGTTTATAGCTATCTCAACTAAATAAGTTAACATGGAGATCTTGTGCATGGATTTCTGATAAAGAAAAGTGCTGGCTTTGGTAGATTCTATCTGTCATTTAAAATTTGCTTTAAAAAAGTCATACTTTTCACAAGTATTTTGAAGTTATTTTTAATATTCTTTTGACAGTGTAATATTAATTATCTTCTCATGGAAATACAAATATTTCTGCTTATCCAAGTCACCCATCCAGTCAGTGGGCTTTCTTCTGTCCTTTATTAATCAAATAATTGAGTTAATATTAAGAAATATGTTAGCACTTTTTAAAATTTCCCTCTTCAGATTACTCATTTATTCCATGTTTTCAGAGAGGTAACTTACATATACAAGTGTCCACAAATGAGTGTACATAATTTTAGAAATATTAGAAAGGTTTAGTCTTTCAGCTGAATTTTCATTCCTATTGGTGCCGTGTTTTTGTATCACTCTCTCCAGGCCCAACTTAAAAATTTTGATTTTATTGAATTCAGTGGAAAGATAAGTAAAAGAAAGAATGATCTTCTTACAGTTAATCTCTTTTCCACACTGTACAACCTTCTTTAACTCAGTTTTCAAATAACTGATATATCATTTGGCATAAGATGCAGAGCAAAGAAGCTTTTTTTTCCTTTTTAGTGTTGAAAACGGAGTCGTTTAGCTCTGTTTTTTTTCCAGAGGGAGATGTCTTTCATCATCTAGAGAATCTGAAGAGAGTAGCCAAGATAGTAGGCAGAGATATGAACTTTGATAGATATGTTCATTGCCTGGACAATGGTTCTGAATAAGCAGAAACACAGTTTATACAGACATATTCGTTCTACTGGACAAACACCCACAAAGCCATTGCACAACAGAACATCAGACCAGGAGCTTAAGTTTCTCCTGCATTTTGCTGTAGAACGCAGATTTTACTTACATTCACAGTTGTGTTGTACCAAGTAGTTGTTTTATTTATATTGATTTCATATACTAATACCTTCCTCTTGATTTTGCAAATTTTCAGCATATGGGAGACTTTGGAGGAATGCACAGACCTGGGATTGTCGTTGACTATCATAACAAACCCAGTCCTGCAGCAGTTGCTGCAAGAGGAATAAAAAGAAAAATGATACCACAGCCGTATAACAAACCTGGTGGGACTTTCATCAAGAAACCCAAAATGACAAAACCTATTTTGAAGCTGAGCCAGAAAAAATCGCCTAGTAAGTAATAAGTACCAGAATTCTTAAATTTAGATTACTAATGTTTTTATTCATTAGAAATGACTTAGCTTTAATATTTAGAAAGAGGGCTGTCTGCTGTTTTGTAATTCTTTATTTTCCACCTTTAAAGTAGTCCACAACAGATTCTGTGAATATACTCATCTAACTTTTCTACTGCAACAGTAATTTGCTGAATGACATTGAATATTTTGATGTGTTCAGATATGTACTGTTGAAGACTGTCTCATTGAGACTTCATAATGATACTTCCTGGAGGCAAATTTTCACTACTGAAAATAATTTCAGGTCTCTGAAATTTCAGGTTGTCTTAAGTGACAATGCCTGACAGATATTAAAATGTGCTCTTGCATGAGCCTGGGCGCCACTGTCCAAATTCTTTGGCTATTAAAAGTAGTGCACCAGCTGCAATAAAGACGTAAGGCGTGGGTCAAGAGGAGGGGGAAAGGGAGGCAAACTGAGAAAACACTGAACATTGTTATAGAATAATTTATGAAAGGCAGAAAGAGTTTGCTCCCACTTGCAAATGAAATGCTGTAAATGACAAGAACTCTTAAATGTGATAGACAAACTGTAAATATAAATTTCAAATTGTATTAGTGATGCTTGGTTTCTTCCATAAAGATGTCCTACAACTCTAATAACTTTGATAGTGCAGGCAGAGTTGGAGAAAAAAGTCACTAATGAGGTTCAAATAAATTACTTGCTTTGAGGGAATGTAAACTTGAGTATTAAATATTATGATCCGTGCGTACAGCGGTCAGATTTTAGTTTTTTGTGCTTGTAATTTCCTAGTAATTTGGATCTACAGTGTTTTATATAGCTTGGTTTCAAATCACATCTGAAAATAGCTTAAAGTTACTGTAGCTCACAGCTGGCAAGGTAAATGCACAGACTTGGCAGAAACTTCCATGTGTAAATTTTAGTTTTGATTTTGTAGTTCTGGATATATTACTGTTTATTACAAAACTGTTCCCTTAACGGTAACTTCCAGAATACTGTACAGATTTCAGGCACTGGGTGTATAGAACGTATTTCTCTGCCTTTTGTATAGGTAATGTTATTGGTGGTCTTATTTAGTTTTGTTATGATTAAATGTAGAATATGCATCTGAGTTCTTCCAGTACTTTTGTACATTCTCCTTTTCTAAGATGTGTTCAGACAGAACACTTCTAGTTTATTATCTGATCCCCTTCACTGATTTCCACAATCCAAGGACCAATATACTACATAATATTGAAGTTACTTTAAGAAGTAGAACAGATAGCACCTGCTAGAATGCAGGCTCTGAGATTAGGGGGAAGAAACTGTTGAGTGGTTTAACACAGTTTCTGAAACTTGAACTGAAAGACGCCCTAAACCGTATCATGTAGTTGAAAACTAAAAAGTAGGTGGCAACTAACAGAAGATATGATGCAATTGGTATACAATGTATGTATGAAAATATATCTCAAAATTATATTGTCCTTTCAGTCTTGATTTTCTTTTTTGGAGTTAAATATAGGTGACTGCTTCTAAAAGTGTTTAATTTATATTTCTAAGGATAATTGATTTTACGTTTAGTAGTATTATTAAACTATGATAAATTGTAAATGTAGACCATCCTACCTGCATAACAAGGATTATGGTTTTTTTCCTAAATATCTTATTGTCTTAAAATGAATTGGCAGTGACAGTGCTTTTGAATTCTTTCTCATTTTATGTTAATAGACATGAAGACGTCTTTCCAGGATTCTACTATAGAGGTAAAGATTCTCAGAATTGAAAAATGTTTGTGATCCTTTGAGAACTTTGCATAGTATGCCTTAAGGCAAATAATTGCTAAGCTAGAGTTATGAAGTTGAACGTTAAATTATATAAGCTTTTCTAAACACACTTTTTTTCTTCACTTTGTCTAAAATTGTCTTATTTTGATGCCAGTCTGAAAGCCTTACTGATTTTGAGTGACAAGATACAGCTAGTGCAGATAGCCTGGAAAATAAATTTTAAAGTGTATTTTTAGACCCTCCCTATTCTCATAATGCACAGAGAAGCTCTCATTTGAATGCTTCTCAGGTTGCCACAGGTAGACAGCTTGAACTCATACACCTATGATCTGCCTGGGTGGGTTGAGAAATTAAATACAAAGGAGATTGCTAAACAGAAGTGAGGAGGAATGGATAAGACATAAGACACATCAAGGAGAGAGGGTAAATAGAAGAACCAGTGTTAAAAGTTGTTCTCTGACAGGGTACAAAGGTTAGTCTCCACTACAGTTGCAACACTGTATAAGAATGTGTTAGAAAGCTAAGCATGTGTATGTGTGTGTATACAGATATGTATCTCCTGGTTTAATGTTGAAATACTGGAATGGTGTTTTCCTTCTTTCTGAGTGGAGGTATTAACATGTTCTCAACTAAGTAGAAGTCTGGATTGGAAGTCAGAATATTTATGTAGAAGACAATTTTGACTGTGAAACGAATTCACTAAGGCTATAAGGCATTAAGGAGAAATGCAGAGCTAGAAGTTTTTGTTCACCGAGTCCAAGAAGATACTCAATTCACTTTCTTTCGTTGCCATGTTTGATAGAAATAGGAAGTAACAGATTATTGAAAATTAAGTAATTTATGCTGCCTTTCTGGATTTAGAGTGACATTGTTTGGGGGGGTGTTTTTGTTTTGGTTTTTTTTTAATTTATGGATTTGACTTTATTAGGAAATTGAAGTTGATACAAGTGGTGCAGTCGTTATATATGAAGACTTTACAAGAGATGCTTATGATCTTGGATATCAGACTTTTGGAGGTAAGTCAGTTTACTTTGTCAGGTAAGGTATTGTAGGTATAGTATTTGTAAGTCTTTGAGTGAATAGATATAGTAAGCCTGTATGTATGATCTCTTATAGTTATTCAGTAGCATGACTATTTCTGCTTGTTTGTTTTTTAAGCATTTGTAAATTTAGGCTGTGGAAAAGATGATTGTTTCTATCATCCATCCATCACTTGTTTTTTCTCATGCTTACTGTTTATGCTCTCTGATCATCTCTGTATGTTGTTGTTTGACCTGTTTTAATTTTTGTGAAACTAATGTAAATGGTCTTATACTTAACTGCCATTCTGTTGCTTGAATGTTGTTAATCCCACTGGTTCCTCACCCATATCCTATTATTTATCCCACTAGCTGATCAACCTCACCCTTAAACCCTAGGTGAGTCACTTTTATAAAAGTGGATTCAGTTAACTCAGAGAGCTGCTCTTAAGAATGTGGGATCTGTTTCATGTACAGTCTTAATGAAACAGGTTTATTATTAGTTTACATAAAATCAGTTAAAGTGTATATTAACTGTGGTAATTTCAGACACATACATAAAGAAATCCAGTGTTAAGGCTGAAACTCTTTTTGGTCTCCTTTTCCTTGTGTATGCTGTCCTGTTGCATATGCAGTCTAATCTGGTAGTAAGGAGTGCTGGAAATTTGCAGCCAGGTGATGAGTGTTTCTTTTCTTGAAATAATAGTAAATATTTTTTAGTTTATTTTTAAATTGTGCAGGTTTTCTTTCTTTTTAAAACTTTGCATAAGCAAAGTTTCAGAAAGTGGGAATCTTAGTTTATATGTAGATTCAGGCTTCCATTCCTCAGCTTCTAACAGGACAGGCACTTGAATTTGGAAGTTTGAGGGAGAAGATAGAGGCCATTTCACTCCACAGAATGTCATACCAGATGATTTTTACAGCAGTAAAACAAGTGACCGTTTGCACATTTCCAGGGTTGGTGGTAGGACATGAAGTGAAATTTAAATCCTGAGATCAGTATGGGAATTGCCTCTGTGAGTAGATGATTGTTTGTTGTTTTCAATTTGAATTTTTAATTTTATGGATGGAGTTTTTGCCCTCTCTGGATCACTGTACATTTTGAAACTCTTCACTACAGAATGAAAAACCTTGGGATAATCAGGAGTGAAGTGTAAGCTGTTAGTCAGTGAAAATGTTTTCAGTACTCAGTGACACTTGTACAGCCACAGTGTGTTTTGCAAGTCTTGGTGTTTTCTGCATTATGCTGCTGTATGTTCCTTTCCGTTGCTGGTTGGATGGAGGTAGATTTCCTGGAGGCTGACCTCTGTTCTAAGGTTGAACTGCAAAAGAGAGCAAAGTGTTCCTCTTTTTCTTGCTCTAAACCTACTCACCGAATAATACTGTGTTTCCATTTGTCCGTGGAGTTTTAAAGCAAACCTAGGAAAGGCAAACATAAGTGCACTTACGCAGAAAGTCAGTGTCCTTGGAAGTCTTTAATGTTGAAAAACTAATTTCTATTCATTTATTTGTTCACACTTACATGCCAGGTGGTAATTTAATCAGGTTCTCTGAAGGTTTGGTTGGTTTTTTTGTTGTGTGGTGAGTCTGTCTGTCCTTGTCTATCCCGCCCTGCCTCATTAACTGATTTGTTTCTTTAGCTGAAAATCTTTGGAATGTTTTTCTGTGAAATAAGTGAAGTCTAGTGGGGAAAAATAATAAAGTTGTTGGAGTTCATTTTTGGTACTGTATGTTGGAGATACACTGTCTTTTCTCCTTTATGAGAACTTTTGCTTTTGGTTTTGTAAACTGCATTCTTGGCAGAAGAGTCTGTTATATAGTTTCTTTTTATGTAAGGGGATTGTAGCAATGGTTCTCTCAAAACATGGGAGAGTTTTAAACAATGTGTTTCTCCCTGTGTTCCAGCAGTCACCCTTTCCTGGTCACTTGAAGAGGCCTCTAATAACTAGGCACAACAAGGAAGGGTTTGTTCTAACTCTGAATTTCCTTGCTTTTATGACTGTAACCTAGAATGTAAACCCTTAGCTACTAAGTGGACATTGCTGAAGCAAATGTTTAACTTGGTTGTCTTTAGAGGAGGAAAACACAGCATAATTTCAGGACATTTAAGTGAACCATTGAACCATGTCAGTATATAGTCTTTCTCTGCATTTTGAGGTGTTTGTGGAGGAGACAAGGTAGACAGATACTTTTACTGTTGTTGTTTATTTGGTTTGGGTTTGTTTATTAATCTTTGTATTGCATGTTAAGATGGCAAAGGAGGAGAAGTTAAAAGTGAGGAAGAAGAAAAGCGGCGAATCGAGGCCAGAAGAGAGAAGCAAAGGCGTAGAAGGGAAAAAAACAGTGAAAAATATGGTGATGGATACAGGTTTGTGCTGTAACTTCTATGTCGTGTGCAGTGTTTTACTTCTCCTTTATGCCTCATATTCTTTCCTGGAAGCCCTTTTGGACTGATTTAGGAAAATAAAATGCAACAAAGAAACGAGGAAAAAAACCCCCACCTCCTTCCACCCCCTAGCTTCCCCCACTCCCCAACAAAACGAAAAATCTAACCCAAATAAGGAAAAAAACCCCCTCAAGCCAAAACCTGGCACCCAAATTCATTTCATGGGACCACTGTTGTATCAGAAAATGCACAATTTACTCACTCCTCCCTCAGAAGTGCCCACTTGAGAAGTCGCTTAGAATGGTATTCCTTTTGAAGTATTTGTTCATGCTGACTTAAGAAGCTGTCAGAAGTTGACTTTATTCTGGTTTTATATGTGTGTATAAATATACATATGTATATATGGTCAACTGTTTTGTGGCAAAAATAAGTACGTAGTTTTGTAACTTTTCTTAATTTTGCCTCAGCCCAGTGGGCTGCACTGTACAAAATGTTCCATGTCAGTGCTGTATATATCATAACATTACTGTCTTTTCCTCATTGTACTGAGGAGGTTTTATTTTTTTATAAAGATTATATAGTTTTTGTATGGAAAATGAGCTTTAAATGAATTCTTCTTACTACTTGTAATTAGGAAACCATGACCTGACTGGACTATGATTCTTTGCCTGTGAGAAGTATTACAAAAGGTGACATGAACTAGAGAGCTGTGATAGGCAGACTCACAGAATAATGTGGCTTTTAAATGCCTGGCTTCTGATTTCAGCAGTTTTTATCTTCTGCATAGATAATTAATTGCTCTGGCACTGGCCTGATTTATATTTGATTCTTATAGCACTTATCCTTTATAATGGAAAAATACAAGATTTTTTCTTTTCTTTTTCACTGAAAAAAGTGTCAGGTCCACATAGTCTTGATGAGTTTTACTTTTAATAGTAATATTTAATGTATTTCTCTTAATAGAATGGCATTTACTTGCTCATTTTGCAAGTTTCGAACGTTTGAAGAAAAAGAAATTGAGGCACATCTGGAGAGTGCAGCTCACCAGGAGACACTGGATCATATCCAGAAGCAAACCAAATTTGACAAAGTAGTTATGGAATTTCTTCATGTAAGACAGCTGTTTTTGATCTATATAATACTTCTGTATGAGAATATAGTTACAATTTACCATGTATTTCCAAAATATGCTTAACTTATCATTGTTACTCCTTTTGCAGATGGCTCTTGTTGCAGCACAAGTGAATTCAGAGTCCATGAAATACTGTTACTTTTACAGTAAAAAGTGAAAGTAGTGCCTTAAGAAGTGACAGCAATTAATCGCTGTTTGTTACAGAGCTCTTCTGAATTCCTATTGGAATATAGACAGTTGTAGATCAGATGCCTTACAGTTTCTTCTTGTGATCCTCTGCAGGAGTGTATGGTGAATAAATTCAAGAAGACAGCTATGCGTAAGCAGCAGACAAGTAACCAAACGGAAAATGCTCAGGCTGCTGAAAAAGATATAATGGAAGGTGAGCGATGTGCTTTGTGTGAAAATGCATACTGTGGGGCTTTCCTTGTCTTTTTATCCTTTCATTCGTCTTCAAATTTAATAAAATGGATTAAAATAGTCAGTTTTCCCACCTTTTCTGTACCTGGTTGGGATACCTTTCTTCATTTCTGACACAATGTGGAATGTAAGCACAGCAGGAGATAGCAAACCTTATTTATGTTTGCTATCCAGGTAGCCTTGTCAGAAGGTGTGATAACATTGTGTTAGGTACTTGACAAACATAATTATGTGGGCTTTGCCACAGTCTTATTCAGTAGAAGGCAAGAGGAGTGGTTGCAGGTAGATTGAAAAAGTGTAATAAAGCAGTAAGGTGGTGATGGTCAAATATGATGGCAAGGGTTTGGATAATGTAAATAGGAGAGTTGCTGTGGTTTTGAGGGACAGTGACAAAAGTTTGAGCACTTTCTTGGCTACCCAAGATGCGTCTCAGCCTGAGTATTTTTCCCATTGGCTGCTGTACAGGCAGTTTTCTAGAGCATTTCATGCGTGCCCACCTTGCTGTGCCATATTCTCCCACCCTGTTCTTTTCTTGAGGGATTTGAAAATATGTGCTAGAGCCAGAGGAGACATCTTTTGAGTACTGTTATTTTAAGCAATAACTTTATTTGAATGCTACTTTGATTTAAATTAAAATACTAAAGGCTATTTTAAAATGGATATAGCCAGCATCTTAACAATCTCACAAATTCTTCTTGTGTACTTTCCTTGAGTACTGGAGGGCCTGTTTGCCTTTGTGAAGAGAATGTTTGTTTTATTAGCAAGCTAATATGTAAAAGTGCAAGAGGAATTGGGTTCATGTGCTTCTTCCTGATGGTGAAGGGAGGCAAGGAAATAAATTAGTTGTTCTTATAAGAGGTAAAGTAAATGCAACTGCTTTGGTCAAGCTTTGTTTGTTTGTTATATCAAAATGTGTATTGTTAAGGATATTAGCTATTGTTGATTTTAAATAGATGGCCTTTCTGTACATTGCCTGGATCTCATGTATAGTCTGTGGAGAAGTGGAGTTGGAGAATTTGAGTGAAAAACTTCCTCCTTCAGTATTACCCTTAGGGAGCCCCTGTGGTTCAGTTTCACATGTCTAACAACTGAGAGCTCTAATTTTTGAGTATAAAATAAATAATCCATTTTTCCACTTGCCTAGAGTAACACATTTTGTGTTAATGATCTGTTGCATCTTCTTTGTCAGGGGTTACTGCTGATGACCATATGATGAAAGTTGAGACTGTTCACTGCAGTGCTTGCAGTGTGTACGTTCCTGCATTGCACAGTTCTGTTCAGCAACACTTAAAATCTCCTGATCACATAAAAGGAAAACAGGTAAGATATGACATTGTTAAGAACAAAAGGGCTAGCATAATCTAATAGTAGGTGAAAAGTGTTTGGTTCTTGGTACGAGTAATTTCTAAGTTCTCGCTGATGTGACTTATCCTCTTGAAAGCTGGAATGTCCTTATTTCACTTTGTAAGCATGAGATCTCATGAAGTAGCCAGTGCTTAGGATCCCTCGGTTAATGAAATGTTGGTGTGCTTAAGAGCTGACAGTAGCAAGTCATGGAAAAGTTACTAGGAATGACTTTTTTATTTTATGGGAATTTGTTTTACTGAGCTTAACTGTTGGAAAAATTATTCAAATTGCAAAACATAATACATGTGTTTCTAGCAAGATGACAAACATGGTACCTCTTTTTTTCTTGTCTGTTATCTTTTTAATTTGAAGAAAAGCGAGACCAGGTTAGAACTAGCAGTAGTGGGGTATTTGTCGCTGTTATAATTTATAATGATATACTTTTAAGACTGGTAGAAGGGTTGAAAGAGAAGCATGAGCATCATAGTAAGCAAGATTGCCAAGGTAATGTTTTGTTTATATATGAGCCTCTGTGATTGTGGAGTATCACAGAACGTGTTGGGTTGGAAGGGACCCTGCAAATGAGCAGGGTCGTCTTCAACAGTATGCTAGGCCGTGATGGAAAAGCCTGTGTGTTGTCTGTAGATGAGAACAGATAACTCTGGTTGCAGTTCATTATTTATCAAGATATGGGAATATATTTTGGTCAAGCTAAAGCAACAAACTATAAACACTACTAAACTTAATTGAACTTATTATGTAATTTGGACTTAAGTGCTAAGAACAAACAGATCATGCTGCAATATGTTCATTATTTTACTTATAGAAACTGACCGTGAATTCAAATTTATGTGGCAATTGTAAGAGGTATGTGATAATTATTCACTGTAAAATTTGTTTCCTAGGCCTACAGAGAACAAATAAAAAGGGAGAGTGTTCTCACTGCCACCAGTATATTGAATAATCCTATAGTCAAGGCACGATACGAGCTGTATGTGAAGGTAAGATGCAAATAGAAAGAAAGTAATTTGTAATGTTTGCTATGCCACCATTTTCTCCACGTTGATGGAGTTTAACCTCTGTGCTCTGTCTGTTAGGTAGCTCACAGATTGATTATGCTTTTAATGCACTCTGCTGGTCTAAAATCATTGTCTTGGATAAATTTATTTGCAGCAAAAATTACCACCTCCAGATTTACCAGCTTTTGGTTGTTATTTAGCACTTCTTTGTATTTTAATTTTTAATTAGATGCTCCTAGAAAGGAAAGTCAACCTTTAGGAAAGCATCAGCAGTGTCTTTATTCATAATGCTCACGGTAGAGCACAAATGACTTTACAATTGAGTCTGTCTTTACATTTAGAAGCAAGAGTTCCATCATGTGGCTTTGTACTGAAGTATAACACACACACGACTCAGCTCCTTTTTATTCCATAGAATTTCTAGGGTTGATGGCAGCATACAAAAATGAAAGCTTACAACAGTAGTTGATGAGATCAGAGAATTCAAAAGGCATGGCAGCTTGTGTTGCAGATACGTGGCCTGAGAAACAGGTAAATTCATTTTAGCAAAATACAGGGTTTTTTCTACTGGGCCACTTTGCTAAATGACTCTTTCTGTAGTACTATTGTTAGCTGTTTCTGGTATTACTTTTAATTGATTTATGATTTTGCCTGTGCCAAACAATAGACTCTTTAAGACAAAGCAATACTTTCTTGAGTAAATATGGCAAGGTATGAGCCAGTGCCCAAGTTAAATGTGATTTAAAATGTTAGATTAGCTGTGTGCTGCAAAATGATGTAGGGATGAGCATGTGAATCAGTTTCAGACAACTGTTCTGTATCTGTTATGAGAAGGTTGCAAATGTCCAAATACCAGAGCCTGGAATATCTGTCTGTATTTCCAGCCACCTCTTCTGGTGGTGTTCCTTGTGCCTGGCATGTGTTGTCCCATACAGCCCCCTAGTGGGAGACTGGTAGAAGGGAGAATGGAAATTTGCCATTCATCAGGTCGACAGGGGGCAATCAAAATTACCTAAACAGAATTTTTCACAGGAAACCACAACGGGGCAAGGTGGGTCTCAAATACTAGTTGTGGTAAAGAGTTGGATGACTACTAGTCTCAGCAGGGTGTAGTTCTAGCAGGAAGTACTAGTCTCAACAGAAAATGAGCTTTTCCTAATTCAACTTTATTTGAGATATGTACCTCTTCCAGGGCACACATTAAAAGAACAAACTTCCCAGTATGCACAGAGAAACCAAGTTGTGTAATAAGAAAGAAAAAAATCTTTTACCTTTTCTGCTAATGTTAAAATGTATCAATAGGGATACATAAACCTCAGGAGTTGCTGACCTGAAATTTTGTTCTACTTTTGTCAAAGGCATTTGTGATACTAATGAGCCGCTTTTGCCACTCGGTACAAAACTAGGCAGCTTTGCAGGTCTTGCCCGCTCTGAATTTTCTCCCTCCGCACTGCATATGCAGAGTAAACAACACTTTGCAAAAGCATGTTGAGTTTGGGGATTTTTGTTTGGTTTTGTTTGAGTTTTGGGCTTTTTTGGTTGGAGGGTGGGGAGAAGTGTTTCCCCATACAGTCTGCCCTACATCTAAAACAAGCTGTTTTCAGTGGTTAACAAGGATCTTCTGGAAGATGGCAAGCTCCAAACGCGTGTGTGCTCTGCTCCATCACATGCTGTATAATAAAACTGCACTCTGCGGTTGATTATACATTTGGATAAGGATGAAAGGGATTTGCATAACCAGAAGCCAGATACATCTCACTGAGCAGGTCCTGGTGAAAGTGTATTCAACCCATCCCAGAAAATACCAGCGCTAGTCATTCTGCAAATGTCAGTGGTCTCCTTGTGAAGACAGTCTTGCAAGTTTTACCTTCCTCAGTTTTCTAACATGTCTTCTAATGCTTCTTCTGTTCTCTGTGCTGCTGCTTTGGTGCTGGTGTCTGCCTTGTTGGAAATTTGTCAATATATTCAGTTTCCAGAAAACTACTGTACCAGCACTGAGGTTTCCAGCAGTCAAAACTTGCATGAGATCTTTATGATCCTGTTGGTTCTGGTGGCCATGTGCAAGGAACTTTTTAATTTCTTGTTTGATATTTTCATCATAGATACTTTAATCAAAGAACCTTGGAAGGATTGTTTTTTACCTTGGGCAACCTTTTGAAGAACCCTGTTTCCCTGGTGCTGTTTTTGTGTGGTACCCCTTTATGCTTCCAATATGCTCTTTGTGTGCTTTTTTGAAGATTTTCACTTCTCCTTATTCTTCTGCATCCATAATGTGAAGGGGAGAAATCCACCATGACCCACTTTCTGGCTACTCTGAAACAATCCTCTTAAAAGTTTGTGAATGTGTAGTAAGTCCCTTTATAATAAGGAGGAAAAAAAGACCATCTTGTTTCTCCAGGCAAACAGTTATCGCTTGGTGAAGTCATGACTATCTAATTTTGGCCCATTTAGAATTTCCTAGACAGAACGATGTCTGTGATTAAAAACTGCTTGGATATTACACAAGAGAACCATCATAGAGTTTGACATTTTTTATCACTATGTCCCAGGACTGTTTGATCACAGTGAAGGCATTTTAATGTTTACTGGTTAGTTGGGCAGACTTCGGTATCTTTTTGGATCAGGTTGGAGAGACCTCTTGTAATTAGATTGGTTTCTGGGGACATGGAAATCCTAGAGCTTTGGTTGTAAATGCTAATTCATAGTCTTAAGCTTTCTGTGCAATTTAAATATGCTAGAGACAAGAAGCCCCAAAAATACATCTCTTGGGACTAAACTACTTACTGGTGTATTTTGTACTTTCAATACATCATAAAGTCTTTCTGCAACAGTTCAGTACTGTGCCTGTGTTCTTGTTTTCCGGGGGTTTTTTGTGCCTTTTTTTTTTTTTTTAAGCTACCTGGGACCAGTGTGACTGTCAAAATCAACTAGCATTAGAATTGGCTCTGCATACTGTGCTGGATGCCTCTAATGCTACATCACTGGAAAAGAGTGTAGTCATTAGGATCTTCCCCTTGATGGCAGTAACTTTTTCCTTAGCTTGAGAACTCGAAAAGTGCATTTTTCTCTAAAAAAACAGTTGGAGAAGGCAACTTTGTTGTCATTGTTACTATTGTGTGGAGATCTGTTCAACCAGAAGTAGTGTGCTAAATCCAGTTCTGCTAGGCTAGCCAGCAGCAACGTACAGTCTCCGCAGGAAGGAAGTGTAACAGTTTTCTGTAGCTTGTCCCCAATAGACAGGGACAGTCAGAAGTTGTCTGCAGGAGTGAGGAAGTAGTCCTTTCAGAGTGCATTCTTTAGCTACCATTTGTCATTATGCCTAGCCTAGATATAAGAGGATTTAAATCTTTACTTTTGTGTCAGACCTGTTAAAGGGCTTCCAGTATCCTTGTGAGTCATTTACAGAGAAAGGCCACCTTTTTTCTTTTTTGAGGAAACAATGCTCTCTGTTAGGACATATGAAACTCTTAATACACCTTTTTTCTCTCTGTAAGGTCTCCCGGTAAGCATGTGTTTGAAGCTAACTAGGTGAAGTATTCTTAACTCAGTAATTTAGCTTTTGTCCAAAAAGGAAGGTAGACGAATGCAATTCTGGAGAGTTACACTAATCCTAATTGAATTAAGGTTTGGATCCTCAGTCTTTTTGTTTCACAATGCTTTCCATAGATGTTGGAATTAAATTCATTTGGGCACTTGCTTTGCTGTATGGGTTTTTTTTTCATGAAACAATGTCCTGAGCCAGTATTTTTGGTATTTCGGTGTTGGGCACTGTTACCTGAAGTAGTGAAATACCCCTTGGTGTTCCATAGCCTGATGGTGCTTGTCAGTAGTAGTGGATCATCTAAAAGTGGTGTGAGCTTTACCTGAGGGTTTGGTTTGTTGTTTTTCCGTAGGGCTCAGGTAAATTCTGATATCTGATACAGCTTTCTATGTACTTGACAATCTATGTATGACAATCTAATTTCAAAAAAGCCAAACTTAGTATCTTGAAGTTTAAATGCTACCTTATTCTTGAAGTTTAAATGTTACCATTTATATGTGGAAGCTATGTCTTTGTTTATGCTACGAGTTGATTGGGCTCAACAGACATTACTATCTGAATACTCTAGGCTGGCCATTACAAAGTGCGTGCATAGAATTATCCAGGGACTTGGAATAACATGGTCTCAAAGACTTCTGCTTTCATTGGGTTAAATCCGAATTTGAATCTGAATTTAGGATTTGTCTTGATTTTTAGAATAACACTGATACCAAGCTTTTGTTTAGTGGCATTTGCTAAATATTTTTATAGTTTTTTTAATTTTTCAGTGGCCACCTGAAAGATTCTGCCTTAAAAATGTAACTGAAGTGAAAAAACAAAAGGACAAGGGGCCTAGCCCCAAATTTTCTTTTGTATCTTCTAAATGATACTTTTAAAATCCTAGTCTTGGTGCAATTAGTGGTTGCTGTCGTATGTTAAGATCAGACTTGCTCTGTCATGTTTGAATATGAAAGGAACTTTAGCCAAGAAACTCCTAATGCTTTTTATTGTTATTCTTCATTGTTTATCGATTATTCATAGTTCTTAAACATCTGAAACAAGTGAAAGCTGAGGTATGTCTTGTACTGAATGAAATGAAGAAAATGTGAATCTAGAATGCCAGTGTATTTGAGGTACTGAGAAAACTATTTGATAATCTTTGTAGATCAACAATGGAATAAAGTTCAGGCTACTCAATGTAATTATTTCTAGGTTTCATTTACTGAAGAGTTTGTCTTTTTTGATAGAATTATTCAGAGTGAATAGAGACTGTACATAAGGCAAAGCAGAACAAAACTGTTCAGTTCCAATTTGGTTGTAATTGGGGAGAAGAAGGTAGCAGCTGTAGTTCTTACTAAAAGCATTTTGAAACTTAACCATGTAATTTTAATTTCTGAAAGTGGAAGTTAAACTGAAGTTTGTGTGTGGCATGCTTTGGCTTTTTCTCAATGCCATTTCTACTTGCATTAAAAGATTTTATTGGGATCCCAGTTTCCTATGTGCCTAAAAATGTGGTATTGCTAATTTTAAATCAAGCCTCTTGATTTTCTTGCTAAAAACCCCAACTATTAAAAACCTGTATAAAATACTGTAGCATTTCTTAGTGGCTGCCCCTTTCATTCACTGAAAAAGAGTATTATTTTATTTTGTGCTTGAAATAAATATCAAAGTGTTTGTTTTCAACCTTCTGCTTCAGGGTGAAAATCCTTTTGAAATTAATGATCAGGCTCAAGAGCAGCAGACAGAGGAAGAGGACAAAGCTGATGAGCCAGCCGAGGGTGAGGAAGAGGAGGAAGAAGAGGAGGAAGAAACTGAAGAACAAACTGACTTCACTTTAGACCATACTGAAGATAACTAAGTGCAAGAAAATAAAAATACATTGGGGGGGAGAAGCCAGCTTTTTATTTCTGCTCTAAAGTGGCTGAGACTTTTTAATAGTCTCAAATGAAGTTGAAGATTCCCCACCATTTGCATGCATTCCATTCCATGGAGAACTTGTTTATATAATTCCTCTGTGTTTCTGATTTTGTTTAAAATAAAATTAAGACTATTTTAGTTGAGCTTTTTATAGAAAACTGACTATTAAAGCTGATCAGAACATTGTGTTGTATATTTTTTTAAGCATCCTATTTTTTTGGTGTGTGTATTGAAAGTTGGATATAATAATAATTTTTGGTCTAATCAGTTGAAAAGAAAGGTGGGTCTCTGGGGTAAATACATTAAAAGCTTTATCGTGTAAGCTTATAATATTTACCTCTTAGTACAGAATGAGTAACTTCAAAAATTGTGCTGTTGAGTGTGGCTGTTTGGGGAACTGCATTGCACTCTGTATAATAGAGTATGTGTTTATAATGCCTTGTAGCTTTTTGTGATAAGATGTACCAGTTTGTAGCAATAAAACACTTAAGAAATGTTACTGTTTAAAGTGTCTGTAATTAAGTATTTCAAGAATTTCCCTATGCTGACTACTAAATTGGTTTCCAATTAGATATTGATTGATATTGTCATTGAAATTATTTAAAATTTGTAGTTGCATCTTAGTGACTTGTGTTATTTATTGCTGATTTTTGATATATTCAGACTCCACCTAAAGAGAGATAAGGACTTGAGCCTTCATAGCATATCTTGGGGAAGTGTGTTTTCTGTATATTTACATGTGGTATACTCTTGTCTATCTTAGAAATTACTTTTAAGTACACCTGTGATTTTTCTGCAGTTCCTGCTAATCTAGCTTTTGACTAATGAGAAGTGAAATGTCTGATTTAACGGTTTTTAAGTGCAGCAAAGTAACTTGCATTATTTTTCCCTAGATGTGGTAATGTAACAGAAGTAACTGTACAATCTCTGGTGGTCTTTATGGGGATTGTTTTTTAAAAATCTGATCATACGTATAATGTTGCACATTTCTGTTGGAGAACCCTTTTGTTAATTAATAGTCATCACTGTATAGAGGTGGTATTACAATACTTCTAACCTCACCTGTAAACCAATTTGCTTTTTCAGTGATGAATTTTACAATGAGGGGAAGTGTGCAAGTGTTATGGGGGAGTACTTGACTTAGATATTAGGCCACCTAACAGCCTAGTAGCAATCATCTCTGAAGAATGCTGTGCATCGCAGTCATTTAGCTGTTGCCTTTTAGTGTAACTTTGAGAGTAGAAGATACAACACCATGAGGAAAGAGAGGGAGCTGAGTTTGGTGTCTTGACCTCCTATTTATGGCTATATATTTTTTTATTTCTATTTTAAAAAATCAGCATGATGTAGACTACATTGTTGTACCTGTAAGTGTCAGCTTGGAACCAGAAGCTACATGGGTTGGTTGAAAGATGTGTTAAGCCTGCAGCTGTTTGAACAGTATCTCTTTTAGCTGTGCAAGCTTATAATAACAAAAAGGCTCCCTAGACCTCTAAATACTCATTCTCCTGTTCTCAGTCTTAAGGCTAGGATTGAGATTGATATTTGCATTACTTTTAAGGTGTAACTCCCCTTCTGCCTTACAAGCTGGTCACTCAGCTATTTGTGTTCTACTTGTAGGTCTCTTGCCTTACAAGAGAAAGATGCATCTTGTAATCTCTTCCCAGACAAGTTAACAGGAAGTGTATCAGTGTTCTAGAAATTGGAGAGAGCTTTAGCATGAGAACTTGTTTGCAGTAGTTAAGAGAATTGAGATGCTGCCCAAATTTCTGCAAGTGGTGAGTTTTTTTCTCTTTGTCTATGGTTCTTTTATTAGTCGGAGAGAATGAAATTGCTTCTACTCAGCTAAGATAAGCCCTTCTACTCAGGATCTCAGTACTTTTTATTTCCATTGCTGCAGTCATTTTATCCATATGGGATGGCATCAGGATCTTTGAATTCAGAGCATTCGTGATTTGATTGTTACCTAAAACAGGTAATTTATTACTTCTTTATAGTAATAGTTCTCATGTATGAAGTGTGTTAAATGATAGCTTATACTTGGATGACAGATTTTGGGGGGTGGAGGGAACAACTGCTGGTTATAATGGACAAAATTACCCTTTTCCATAGGCTTAGAAGGAACTTCTAATGGAGTCCCTGGGTCCCTTTTGTAGCTAACATTTTATGAAATTAATTTTCCTAGATGAGTGAAGTATGGACATAATTTCAGAGGGAGTGATGGCTGCCTGTTCAGGTGACACCATTGGCAAGACAGACACACACCCTCTCGTTCCAAACTGAGTGAAGATAGCGTTTGTTTGGTTCAGAATCTCAGAAGTAAAGACTACGATTTTATGCAGTTCTGGAGAAAGGTGCCTGCTGATTTACACATCTCTGCTTAAAGACCTTTAACAGTTTCCTTTGAATTCCCCAAAGACCAGCTATGTGCTGTCAACTGCCTCACTCTTTATAAGTGTTGGTTGCAGTAGGATATACCTTTCCCTAGATGGTTTTCTGAATAACTTTCTTGGAATGTTGAGTACACCAAGTGAAAACCATTTATAAAACCACAAAAAATTTGAGAGCATGTTTGTATCCCCCATACCTAAAGACCACTTTAAATGAAAGATGAGTGAAAAACTGGACTTAAAATGTAGTTGGTGATGCTTCACACTCCAGATGATAATTGCTAATGGTGTTTCTTGGAGAGTCAGCTGATTAGGGAAAAGCAGTTGGAGGGAGTTTATGGTAGATCTTATGCTGGAAGCAGTATTGAGAGGGTTGAAAAAATTTTGCAGATGGTAAAGTGACACTGAGGGAAAAGTATTTCAGGATGTTTAAAAACATCTTTTGGGAATAAAAATGGCTTCCTTACATTACAGGCAAGATCTCTCTAATCCTGTTTCAGTGCATGGGCTGCATAACTTTTTAGTGTCTTGAGTAGAATCAACAGAGAAGGTGTGGTATGGCTGATCTGAGTAGTGAAAACTGCATGGAATGTTTCAGGTGAGAATTTGCAAAAGAATTGCAGGATTTGACTTGCACAATGATGCTAATGCTATTTTTATTTCTGTTGGAAACATCCTGATGTGTTTTTAATCTTCTATAGGAGTACCGAATGGTGTTCTTGGTTTATAGTTGTGCTGAAGAATACATGCAACTCACATTCTAACTACCTCTTTCTGGAGCTAGAACTTAAATCTTTTTGCTCTGAGAAATGTTGACAAATATTATGTGGGGTTTTGTTTGCATTTTTTGTTTTGTTTAGGGTTGGACTTGCAAGGTAGCCAGTACAGTAATATGGGCACTAATCCTTGAAACTTACACATAGTGAATGACTGCCCTATATGTGTACTCCTGTGTGTATTGCAGCCCAAATGCACTGGGCTTTTTGTATACACAGTATAATTGTAGAATAATTAGCATCACACCTGTGCAATGCTCTGCTTGTTTTCATGCTGTGTGAAGGACTGAAATCTTTAAACAAGCATGTAGATTCTCTTGCTTTGGCTCCTCCTGTATTACTTACAGTTAAGAGTTAAATCAGTTTTTAGCTTGCTGAATAGTAGTTTTACATTTTCTTGCTCTCATCTGTCAACAGACTTTTACAAAAAAAGCTTTTCTTTAAATGTTTTTTTCAGCTGCTAGAATGTTTCCTACTCTTTTTAAGTAGCCCTAAAATAAAGGATCCAGAATTTTGCTTCAATTGGTTATCCTTCCACTAACTGAAGTCCTTACCCACTCAGCTTTTAAGACTGTAGGGAGAAACTTTATTGTAAGGAATGCCCATAGCCATCAGAGAGTTGGGTCTCTCCTAGAGTCTTCTTCCCATCTTATATGAAGGAAAGACTTGGTAAGTCCCACATACTCTTGAGTCTAAAGCCTGCAATGAAGTTCCTCAAATCATGTGAGAGGATAAAAATTCTATATCCAGTTTGTTAGCAGTGAATGTTTATTCTGATTTAAGTATAAAAATAAATAACATATCATCTGTTTAATTTGTTTTTAAATTAATTTCTAAACTTGTGTCAAGTTTTTAGGCTTACAATCTTGTACTTCCTTTTAAAATAAGTCCTACAGCTCAATTCAGCTGTCTTTAAACAGTTTTGACTGGTTTAAAGTACAGTTAGCCAATGAATAATAATAAGGCTTTCTGTATAAGTAAAATTGTGTATAGACTGAAGTCCAACATGTAATACAAAAGAGTTTCTGATTTTATTCTCCAAATCTAAGCTTTCCTCATCCCATCCTTTGGTACTTCAAAGCTGATGTTTACAGGAAAAGGAATAAATACCCGGAGGGTAAATTTGAGCATCAAAATCTGCTGGGGCAAAAGCAAAAGAGAGGATTTCTTAAGAAGGCCCCACAACCCCCTGCTATCCTGTGATTCTGATTTCAAAGAAAGTCCTTCCTGTATGCAGAAATGTGATTGGGTTTTTTTGGTCTGTTTGGATCTTTTTTTTTTCATGATTGAAGATTACCAAATGTTATGGGAGAACAAGGAATAAATAATCTGCTTACCTTTTTGGTCCCCTACAGGTGAAAGATTTAAGTATTTACACCAAATGTACCTGTTCTTTTTATGGAGACTTACCAACTTCATTCCTGTTTACCCTGGACATCTTTCTTGTGGACTCTGTAATACGTATTCCAAACTGTTGCTGTTTTTGTAGAGTTCTTTATAAACCCAAAGTTATGAAGGTAAGTCAAGAGTGTTAGGAGCTTTTGGGAATCACCAAAAAAGCTAAGGATGGATAATATGGTGGCAGGAGGAATGCATATATTGTGAATAAGCACAACCTACTGTGTATTTAAGTGAATATTTGTCAAATATTTTTAAGAGCTGAACAGCTGTATTGACTTAGGAAAAGAGCCACAAGTGTCGATGTGCCCCATGTAAAGAAGAGCATCTTGGTTAATGTACAATCCGTTTCAATCTTCTCACTTCAGACAGGTCATAAGACAGATGTCCTTCATCACCAGCTAATAACACTGTGGTCCACATCCTTTTTTTTTCTTTTGTTGTCAGTTTGTAAGGTTGCTGTCTTATTAAACCATCAATCATTAAGCTTCCTTCAAATGTACCTGTAAATCAGTCTTCCTCTTTCCACACTGAGGGGACTGAAACACATTGGAGCCTGTTTGAGTTTCGTAGAACATAGCTAAGATAAGCTGTTTAGCTGCTACTCATATGGGAGTGGACAGTTAACAGTTGTCTTAACATCAGAGTTGGAGTCAAGCAGTGCTGAATGTCTTATAGTATTACTCATTAGAGTTTCCTATCTGGTCCTACTCTCCATAGGTATCATAGGGACTACTAGAGTCATTGGGATGGAGTAATCTCTAGCCTGTCCCTCTTGTTGCCCTGCAGACATCTGCTGAGTGTCTGGAACATGAGATCAGATTTTGTATTTCTCCCTGAATTTCCTTAGAACTACGTCCAGGAGTTGAGGTCAGGTCAGGTTGCAGGTCAACGTTGCAGCAGTTCCAGAGAAGCTCAATGGAACTGGTGAAGGGTCTGG